GTTTGCTCCGGGTAGTCAGTCTCATTGTTCACCTGTTTCCGTATACGCTATGACCTGGTGTTCCCGAGCCCTTTCACACTCACCGACTACAATTTCATAGGCTCTGATCGAGCGCTCTTCCGGTCCGCGGTGATCACCGCTTCGATCTCGATTATACGAATGGCAGAGCCGGAAGCATCCTCACCACTTGCAGTTTACAAGATAGCAAGAACGATTCTATCTGAAGAACAAGTCAGATACTTGTTCCGTCTTCCATGCTTCATAGATTAGCTCTTAGATATCGGGCATGGTGATCATACTATGAGAATCATGAATGATTCAGTGCATGCCAGAAAGCAGAAATGGACGCTCAGGTACACAGAATCATGCAGCTGCAATGCTAGCTTGAGATGACGTCCAGATCAATGAAAGGTCCTAACTGACTACACTGTAATTAGTTTTGAGTCCTTTCCTACTGCTTTTTATCTGAATTGCAAACCTAAGCTCTACTTTCAATGGCTAAGTCCCTAGAAAAGTGTTATGCGACTCCCACAAGCTTTGCCCAGCAGAGCTACCGCAGACGGAGGTTTGCGTAAGATCAGGCATGTGACACGCAGAATGGGTTGCAACAGCAGCTGCAAAGCCTGTACGGTGTCACTGCAAGGTTAAAGCCAACAAAATTATCAGTATGTTCGATGGCTTCGCGGATTACATTTTGCGACACTGAAGATCAAACTTACAGTAATTTGCTCAAGGCTGGAGCAATATAGCTGGTCCTTTGGACTAGCCTCGTCTGCCAGAGCAAGCCCAAGGTTCTCCCACTACATGTCTGCAGAGCTGAATATAAGAAACTGCAATGGCACTCTTTGCACTTTCCGCGCATCGGGAACAGATCTCTTTCTGCATCCGGCAGCAACGTGCCCCAAAAATTTCGCTACATGTATGCTATTGGAGTCTTGGAAAGTGTAGACAGTCCGCAGCAACAGAAGGCGACGGACGCGTATGCTAGTGCACCTATGAGTATTCACAGCTCTTGACGGCCGGCCGTACCCGCCCAAAGCATTTGGTGTGATTTTGAGAACACCAAATGCTGCGCTGGACCCTGCTGGACTATTGTGACTCGAGGGTGTCATTCTTGGGCACTGCATCAATTGAACAAGCTTCGAGCTGGAGTTATTTGTTAGATCCGCCGCTCTATGTTCAGCTAGTTCAATTCCAGGCATGACAGTGTGCAATAAACGAGCGGGGGGCCAGGCTGGGTATGCAGACTGGAGCTCAACTGACTCAAAAGAGTGTTAATTAGTGGTATTTGGTCCCCGGCAAACGGGGAATCAATCTGCTCGGAGCTGCAGAAGTCGAATCATTTCTCATAAGAGTTCGGGGAAACGCCTCGAGGCGTTTCTGGTTTGTGGCTTCGAGATATAGTGCGTAAACAATCAAGGCACTCATGGATTGAAGTATATGAGAAGTGTCGCGCTGCATCTGAAGCCTCATCAGATAGTTACAAGCTTTCAGAACCGGCCCAAAAGTTCCAGCGCTCCTGTCGAGTATGAATGCTTCATCAAAGTTGACCGCATTTTGATTCCACTTTCCTATATCGAGTACTCTCAAGAGGTACATAACGACACGAAAAATGCAGCCAACGTATCACAACCGCAACAAAGCCCGCCATGTTGTCTCTTCGGAGGTCCGTTGATGGTCACGACAACGAACCCAAGCCTGCGAGAAGAAATGGCAGCTCGAGTATCATGGAGACGGCCTTCTCAACAGTCAAACCTTAAGATGCCTTACGGAATTAAGAAGCCAGCTTACGCCGCCGGATGTTGCCGTAGAAAGCCTCCTTTCACGTTTTAGAAAGTGCAATTCCTCTGAGGTGACCCGGAGTCTGCTATACAGTCGAGGACTACTGACTCACATATCTTTCTCTCTTTAGCCACTTCTCTGTTTGGAGGCTTGTAAGGGTCGAAAGCCGGCGAACGGAGAGCCCAGACGTGCGGAGTGCTTCTGCAGTAACATACATCAGAGGTCTGTGTGTACTTCACAGGCACTTGAGCCTCTTTTAAGGACTGCGACTTTCAAGCGACAAAGACGGGGCCGCTGGACCACCAAACCGAGAACGGAGCTCACCTTCGCTACTCTCAAGCTTCTCCTTCGTCTCATCCGCTCCCAGGCTCTCTTCTTCGTCACGCACCGCCTCAAAGTCAATTTTTTTGTTCCGCTCCGCTTCCTTCTCTGTTCCAGCTTCCGGCTTTGCTTCACCACCCGCCGGTTCATCTCTAGTTGCATCTTGCAGATCCTCTGTGCTGAGCTGTTCCTGCTTTGAGGTCACTGCTCGATCCACGTACTTCAAAGAAAGCTCAAACTCCGACGGCGGATCGTTCCCCTTCTGCCTGAGCCCCTTGTCGTCCCCCGACCCGCGCGCTGCACCCAAACCGCTGCTGATCTGCCCGGTAGGAGCAACCGGTTGCGCGGCCCCCTTGGGTGAAACCGCAACCTCCGTACGGACGGCTTGAGAATCTTGCGACCCGGTGACCCCAAAGAAAGACCCGACCCCGATCAACGAGTTGGCGTCTACGGTCACCTCTTCACCGGGCTCCTCGCTCCACTCCGGCGTTCCGGTCCGCTCCGGTTCCGCTTCGAAGCCCGCCGGCACATCCTCAAACAGCTCCGCATCGTCTTCGTCGCCCAGCTCTTCGCCGTACAGCTCGCCTGATTCCGCTGCTTTTGCAAAGGGTGCTGGTCCGGATTTCTCGGTTGAATTCCCTGGGTGCTCCACACTTTCCCAGCCAGTTTCCGTGATCCACTTCAAGTCGTCGGCGCTTTCAACCTCCTCTTCCCCCCCTTTTCCGCTTCCGCTCTTTGAGGCGACCCCAAAAGACTCTCCCTCCTCGCCCCCGTGCTTTTCGCCACCGATCTCATCGTTCCGTTCGGCTTCATCTACACTCGTTACGGTGTTCCGTTCGCAACGTCTGCCCTTCCCATTTGCACTATCCGAGCCGTCTTTCTGAGTCTTCCCACCCCGGACTCTCACGGTCTCCTCATGAATCGAACTGGGCGGAACGATCTCCTCCTCAAATCCCACCAGCTGCGCGAACGGATTCGTCCAGCGGTCGACCGGCTTCTTCCATCCAACCGCGCCGGTCGCCTCTTTCTTGCGGTCCTTGCCCGCCGCGCGCCCGCTGACGTCATCTGCGCCCTTGCTGACGCCGTCCCAGCCCGTCGCAACCTCGCTGGATCTTGACTCCGGCCAAGCCGCCTCAACGCTCTCTTCTCTGGCTCTCTTCTCTTCTTTTCCCGGGTAAAGACCCCACCCCTCCTTCTTGACCATCTCGTCGCCCTCATATAAACTCTCCTCTTTTCCGGCCCCCTCGCTTGTCTGCTCCCCCTTCTCGCGCGCTCGCGCGCGCTTCTGCCCGTCTTGGTCACCGCCGTCCGCGTACACCGCCTCGTACATGTCGTGGCTCCAGACGTCCGCAGCATCGGCAGCTCCAGTCGCTTCGCGGTGCGGAGGGTTTAAGGGTTTGGCCGCGGGCGGCTTCGCGCCAGTCAATCTGATGGGAAGCGCCTCAGAGACCGCTCGCGTTGCGGCCCGTTTCTGCTCCGTGAGTTTCGGCTCCTGAACTTCAAGTTCCTGGGGCTCTGATGCCTGGGGTTTCACAGGTTCGGCGTTTTGGGCGTCGCTGGACTCAAATGGAGACGACGGCAGGGGGACGAGGAGAAAAGCCGGGGCCGGAAGGAACGCGCGGTGCCGGCACACGAACAAATCCGCGTCTCACTGCTTCTCCTGGGGCCGATCGAAGAACTCGTCTGCGGCCGCCACGTCCGGGAAGCGCACGAACGCGTGACGGCCGATGGACACGACCTCAAGGTCCCACTCTTTGCGCGCGTACGACTGGATCGCCCCTCTCACGCGGCCGCCCAGGTCGGGCTCCGCGTCGCGCACGCGCGCGTACGCGCTCTTGCGCGGGTCCCAGTTGCCAACGGCGCCCCAAGCCGCGTGCAGCGCGTCGCCCTCGGCCGCCGTCGGCTCAGCGAATTCGAGCATCCACTTCTGCCTGCTCGAGGTGAAGATCTTCCGCTTCGTTCCGTTCTCGTCGCGCAGGGTCCGGAGCTGGAAGGCCACCCTTCCGGGGCCCCTTTCCTGCGCGTCGGAGACGAGTTGGCTGGCCAGCACCGACGCGACCTCCACGTACGCGATGCGCGCGCCGGTGCGCGAGTCCAGTCCCCCGCGCACCCCGCGCACGTCTAGAAGCCCCGGGGGCAGTGCGTCATACCCCGAGAAGAACTCGTTGAACGACTCGGTGAGGTTTGCTCGGACGGTGTCTGCAGGGGTGCTGTCCGGAATGTCTTTCACAAAGATCTCACGCTGCTTCTGCTCCCAGTTCCTCCCGTGCGGAGACGGGGCTTCTTCCGGGATGTGTAGTTCTGCAGAAGCAGTCGGAAGGGGCTTTCTTCCGCCAGGAACAACGGCTTCTTCCACCTCCGGATGCATCCGCCTTGGCGCAGTTGTAGGCGTGTCGTGAAGCTCCTGGCCGCTGGTTGCGATTTTCGGTGGGCTTGCCTCAAACCTGCAACAAGAGGGGTCTCAGTTTGTGCGCAGACCTTTTTGATTATTAGAAGGTTTTAGACTTGCAAGGCTGATTCGTCTGTGCTGAAAGCGCCCCGTGAATGCTCTCTCTCAAATCTAGGTCTCTATGGCTAACTTGTCAAATATCAATCTTTAAATCTGTTTCGTTGCTGTAAAGGCTGCATGGATCTTTGAAACAAGAGTAAGGTTGCCTCATAGGATTCATGACACGCAATCAAATGGTGTCTAAAAGCTCAAGGGTGGTGAACTACAGTGCAAAACTCGTTTCCTTAAGGAACACGATCGTTAAAAAAATATCCTCAAACTACTGAGCGCGTATCCATTTTCTGAAGTTCGAGATCGAGCGCAGGAGACCCAGAATCAAATTGACCAGGTGAATCGTCTAAGCTGACCAGTCCGTTTTGTTACTAGGGTTTTGTGACCGACTCTCGCTGCGTACTTCTGACGTCTTCTTGCAAGATTTTGTCAAGAAAATCTGTCTCACTCACTTCGAAGGCACATCTTCGAATCCTTGCTCGTCCGCAGTAGCAGTCCCCTTGTCAGCAGTTTCAGGCGTCCCGCCCAACCCTCGACTCGGCGCAGCCATGAAGCTCGCCACAGTCGCCGGCTTGCGGTAGAACATGAACGTATCGGGCGCGTAGAAGCCCACGAACATGCCGGGGCCCGGGAGATACGCCCGGTGGCGCACGAAGCACAGCCGCGCCTCAAGGCCGCGCGCGTGCGCGCGCCGGAAGAACTCGTCCGCCGCGCCCTCCGACCGGAACGCCACGTAGGCGTGCTTGCTCGCGCACAGGACCTTCTCGATCCCGCTGCCGCCATCGGTTCCGGCAAGCCGCTCCACCTCTTCCCGCACCGCCTGCTCTCGCTTCCGCGGGACGAACTCCCGGGTGAAGCGCACGTACGTCGCGGCCGCGGGGTTTAGGGTTTCGGCCTCCCGCCACAGCTCGACCTGCTCACGCTGCTCCTCCGAAGGCGGCGCGACAACCTCCATCGTCCACTTCTGATGACGTGGCACTTTAAGGACGTCGTTCTCGCCGCTCAGCGCCTGGATCTGCCCCCGGTTGACTGCGTCGACAAAAAGGTCTGCGCCCAGAATCGTGCTCATCTCCACGAAGCCGAAAGCCCTGGAGACCATGGTCGTCGCGCCATGAACCTCCAGAGACGCAGGCGGCAGCACGTCGAATCCAGACATCGCTTCTTCAACCGCGGACTGGATCCTGTTGCTCAGCTCAGGCTCACTCAAATTCGGAAGGTCGCCGACCCAAACCTGACGCCGACGGCGGCTTTCGCTGAGCTTTGGAACCCCAGACTCGCTCGGAGCGGCCAACTTCTCGTATTGGTTACTCGTCGTTTCAGTACCCGGTTGGTCGCGTCCGAGACCCCCAGAAGCTGTCCCCTCGTCCCCGCCTCCGCCCGTTCTCTGTTCGAATCCGCTCGCTTTCTCAGCCGTCCGATCTTCGACGATCTGCTCTTCGCTTAGAACTCCGGGCGCCGGGACGTAGTCCTTCCGGCGGGAGATGAACAGCTTTTGCTCCAGGTTAGCGTCGCCGCCGGAAAGCCGCCGGAACAGCTCGTCGCCCACGGACTCCGACTTCAGGAAGACGTACGCGTGCTTCCCGGCGACCAGCACCTCCTCGATCCCCTCCGCGCGGTCGCCCTCTGCGTTCGTCCTGACCACCGTCCGCAGCAGCTCCTCGAACACCGCGGTCGCCGACGCGCCCTCGCCCAGGAAGCGCGCGTACAGAGTCTTGGCGGGGGTTGCACCGCGCGCGCGCGCCCAGAGATCGTCCAGCGCGCGCCGCTCCCAGTAGGAAACGCTCTCCATGTCCTGCGTTCGCGGCTTTTGAACGGGGAGCGTCCATCCTTCCAGTTTCAGAACCAGGCGGCCCCGCGAGGTCCCGTCGTCGAAGCACTCCTTCGCAAGGTTGGACGCAAAGTCGCAGAAGGCGAAGGTCGGCCGGGGATTCCCCTTGAGCCTGTTCACATTTGCGCGCCCCCTGAAACGACTGAAAGTAGTGCTGGGGAAGGCGTCGAAGCCGCTGACGGCAGCCGACACCGCGTCTTCGAGCCGGCTCTCTAGTATTTGGTCTTCCCAGCCGCCAGACACGCCGTAAATGAAGGAACTGAAGGTGATCTCTTCGGGCGCTGCTCCTCTGCGGGGGCGAGAAACCCCGCTTTCCGAAGCTGCTGGCAAGACGGAAGTCTCATCGTCTCTGCTCAAGAACACCGAGCGCGGGGGTTCCGCCCGGCTGCGAGATACGGAGTCCGGCTCTCTTCTTTCGCGCGGCTTTCGCGGTCCGGGCTCGCTGGGATTGGGGAAGGCGGTTTCTGCGGCCTCACGCCCGCGTCCGCGGCCGTCAGAAACTACGGGGACTCTGTCGTCACGGGGAGCTTGCATGACCTGCACAATCTGCAAATCCGAGTTTACTAAAGTGCCGGATCGGCCTTTGGGCTATCTGCGTTCGAAGAAAGACTTTTGAATTGCGCCCTTGTAGGGATATCCACTGTTGACAGTGGATATCCTACTCTTAGAAAAGCAGGAGTCTAGAAATGTGAGTAACAGAATGATAATGCTGTCTTGCATGGATTCATCGCAATTCTCAACATCTGAAAGACCTCCTCAACACTGAAGTGTGTAATATAGAAAAAAAAATATTACTTCAATGAAAAACGTAGCGAGTCGTGTCTTTCATGATAGAGACTTTTGAGAGAAAAACCCAAAGGAGGCTGACTTGTGAAAGATTCCCGCTTGAGCAATTCTAAATGTCCGCTGAACTTGCTCATCAAAAAGAGGCAACAAGCCTCACTCCGTTTTCTCATCCTGCTGACCTGCTCTTTTGGAAGGGTCCTCTTCACGATCGACTGGATCAGACCCCGCTGCCATGAAGCTGCTTTTGGTGGGCTTCTCTCGTGCACCCCTTGCGGATTGTCGTCGTGCCACGTGTCGGCCTCGTTCCGCGGTTCGTGGCCCCCGAAATGCACCGGCTCTTCTGACTCGGGCTCCAGTTCAAGCTTGGGTGGGTACCGATCCGAACCGTTTGGAACCGCGTCCAAAGGCGTTCTCATCTGCGAACCCCCTGCAGGTGTGCCGAAAGGAGTCCCCACCGGTCCAAGCGCCACGCTTCCCGCCGCCGGGCTCTTCTGGTTCCGTGCAGTTTTCTTGTAGGACTGATCAAAGGACGGGGGCCGGTTGGTCGCTCGTGGCTCGGGGGCTGCCTCCCGGTTTTTGCTGACGTCACCATCCCCGCGAGTATCTGCTTCCGGCGCGCCCGACCGACGAGAGCCTCTGTTTCCCTCGATCTGTAGGTTGCGGACGTCGTAGGGCTCTCGTGCAGACCCCCGTCTTGTGAAGTCAGTTGAGAAACTTTCTTCTGCCCGGTTGGCCTCTCCCGGGAGCTCAAATGAAGCTCGGGTTGCGCTGTGTCCAGGGGTAGAAGCGGCGGACCCCGGTTGCGAGAGCGGCTGATCCGCGGACGGCTCTTCGGCGGTCTTCTTGGCGCGCGATCTACGGCCGCCACGGCGGGACTCCCTGGCTTCTTCAGCAAGCTTCCGGTTGCGCGCTTCCAGGTCGAGGACGACGCTCTCCATGTTGCTCGACTTGTACTCGAAGCTATTCACCGCGGCCTGAAGTTGCTGAATCCTCTGCAAATCGATCGAATTTCAGAAAGAAGCGAAGATTGATAGGCCAAGAGGGGACTCTTTGCATATCTGAAGACCAGCTTTGAAAGACGTGCAGGAGTTTCGTTTTCTTTTCAAATGTTTCATTTGCTAGTTTTATCAAGGTCTGCAAAATGCAGGAGTAGGACCTGTTTCAGCGTTGAGCAACAATGGTTGTTCTGTGGTACTTTTCTTGTCACAACTGAAGCAAGGTTTCTAACAGAGGGTGCATTTGAAATTAGGGACATCTGACTGGTTTGAAGAATCTGTACTCGGCAAAGCAATCCAGTTCCGTGCGCTCAGCTTTCGTCAAATGCACCCTAGAATGTGGCTCTATTTTTTCTAGATGATTTTCAGATGGTAGATCAGTCTGCGAATAGTAGGTTCAAACCGCTAAGGAATGCCTGCCATCGGCATCGCAACTCAAGAGTAGGGACTCCCTGATAAGATCGGCATGTGTGAAGTTGAAAAACGAGGGCCCTTAGGGTGAGTTGAATTTTGAAATTCAATGAAACCAAAAAATACAAAAGACAACCTCTGTCTAGGGTTTTCCTTCAACTCAAACCTGGTTTGCATGATATGAGAAAGTAGAATCTACAATAAGTTATTCCGGACCTTAGAAGCAGCATGATGTTCTGATGCAAACAAACGAAGGTTCACAATGAATGCACAGCAACGCTTCGTGGCTCTCGAGACAAATTCCCTCACAATTCGGAGATATCCAGGAATAAAGCTTTTCTGACCAGTAAACTAGTGACCAGACTTGAAGCTGCCAGAAACCGTTTGCAACGCCTTATGGTATTTTAGCAGGTATGTTCTTCTGAGAATGAGAAGAGTCCCAGCAGAAAAACAGGAAACTTTGATCAGATTGTTCGGCACTCTTTTGGAAGAGTCAAAAGGGCCAGAGATTGCCAATTGGGATCAACTCTATAAGCAGATAAAGAACGTCTCACCCGCTGCAACTCAACATTCTCTTCTGAGACAGATCTTCTGGATTCTTCTGATTCCCTGAGCTCCGCTGTTCTCCTTTCCTCTGATACGCGGAGCTGTTCCTCAAGCTCCTTCACCCTCTTGCGAAGCTTCCTGATTTCAGTCTCACTCGAACCTTGCCTTGAGCCACTTCCAGAAGCAGAGTCCCCCTCCGAAACCAGGAGTGCGACCTTTTCTCTCAGCTGCAGGTTTCTTTGGGACTGTTCTTCTGGCGAAGGGAATGTATGGCGCGATTGAAACAGGGACTCGTAGCTTGCAGGAGACAGGATGTTCCGAGCCCGTGTCAAGCAATCTCTGTTGAATCGATCCAGCTCTTCAGCAAGGGGACGAAGCTTTCTCTCATTCTGTCCCAGCGCAAATTTGACCTCAAACAGCTGATGCCTGATGACATGCATCAGCTCTGCAATCCTCAGGAGCCACTCCCCCTGCACATCTGGGTGTCTTCGTAGCTCTTGCTCGCTCTCGAAGATCTTGAAGGTTTCCATGATCACAGCGATGCTTCCAAAGACATGGCGGCTCAAGCCTGTCTGCACCGCGGAACCAGCCAGCAGCTCTGCTGCTGACCTTTCAGTCAGCGGTACCAGGCCTTGGACATGCTCGAACGAAACAGCGGAAACATCCTCCGAAGCTGCCGCCATCTGGTAGCCTGATTCTGAAAAGGGCCTAATCTGCATGCTCTCCATCATCAACATACAGGAGACCTTAATTGCTCTTTAGTGCTCTTCCTGGCATTTCAAACGAAAGGCATCTTCTTGACAACCAAGAACAGCGCCTCCCTTCGAGGAGTCGTCAGTCTCTCTAGAACGACCCTTCTTCGGCAAGTATCAAGAGCGCTAACTTCTCCTCCTAATAGCAGAGTCCTAGTTGTCCTTATTGTCTCGACAGCTTGCTCTTGGAATCAGTCTTCCTTGCAGGACTTCGCTGCATTGTTGGTGTGGAGTAGTGCCGTAAAGTCTCGAACGTCTTTCCAACGATCAAGCAAGGCGTGATTACATTTCCATCGAAGAATGTCGTCCTGCTTCTTGGTCTGGTTAGAATCCGACGCCGTAATTATACTCGTCGGTTCCAGATCTGCAGTGGACCACCGCTTATGTCGCGTCGATCTTTTTTGCCCCATGTGACGATGCTTCGCCAAGCCAATAGGCTTCGTGCATGATCAGCAGTAGCACATTTGAAACTTAGGTAGCGCCGGCGCCTTTTTATGCCTTTTCAAGCGGAGCAGTGCCATTTCTGATGCTGATCAGACAAGCACATTCGAAGGTGGCGGGAAAGAACTTTTCGATTCATACAGGTTGCCAGAGGAAAGCATAAACGCAAATTCGATCCCTAAGCTCGGATCTTTATATATAATTACTTGAAGCATAAATAGAGCAATCTACGCGCTGCGTGCGCCGTAAAAGAGCTGAAGTTTGATACCAGGCTTCCCTTCATCAATGGATCAGGTGCGATAATGAGAGCAGAGCGCTGAGTCTAGATGACCCTTGAGCTGGTTGTAATCAGGCAGATTAAAACGAGCATCGAGGTATCCTTCATCTCGTGAGCACAAGCTTAGAGTTCCCTCTTTCTCTTTTTTGGAGCTTGATCACTGAAATCCATTTGTCGTTGAAGCTGACATGTCAAGAGTTCTAAGATTGCCTTTAGAACATACTTGATGTCAACTCTCATGTAAAGCCACAGTTTCGGAATCAAGTGGAAGTCAGTTGCAGTGTCTAGGCTTCGTGATTGTCTTGGAGGCTTTTGGTGCCACTTTTCTACCAAAGCAGAGTCGGACTGCAGCAATATGTACATATTATGACCGTATACAGCTTCTGAACCCCTCACTTTCTGCCAGGATGATAGAAAAGCAATAAGAAGGCATGCTTGGAAGCACGAAAGATTCAAAGACGGCTAATTCGTGTCTGATTTTCTATCAGCTTTTTACCTGCAACAAGAGATATACAAATAGCGTAAGCTTGTTGACAGGAGTTTTAAGCAATTTAGGTCAATAACATTGCTTCGAAGCACAGACAGCCCAGCTTTGTTTGAAGAAGTTGGTAAAGAATTCTCAAAAAGGAACTCACGGACAATGGATTTGCCGACTGCACAAGCTAAAATCTCGTGGGCACTCGTTTTCCCAGATATTCGTGCATTCAGACTTCCAACGGCCAAACGATCAAACTATGAGTTTCTTTCTGGCTTTGCTTGGCCCGGATGATCTGTATCTGGGTCTTTTTCCATTCCTGATCATTGATTGAACAGTATATCTTTAGCTGTGTCTAACATTCCAAATCTCGTTTTGCAGATAAGAAGATGCCGTCGCGCAAGAAGGACCGGCCAAAGGTGTCCCCGGAGGTGGTCGCCTGGGAGCGCGAGCCAGACTTTGACACCAGGGCGATGACCGTCCCGGTAGACTCCCCCGAGTTCCAGCTCGCTGTCAGCAAGTACCCGCAGTGCGAAGTCGACCGCAACCACGAGATCGTCCGCCAGGGCATGGGGAACAGGCCGAACTTTGGTCTCCCGAGCAAAGCTGAGCTTGTGAGGGGCCGGTGGGAGAACCCGATCTGTCATAACTGTATGAGGAAGCCCCAGGAACCGTGCGAGGAGGCTGACGTCACGCTGACGAAGTGCACGGCGTGTCACTTGGTGTGGTACTGCAGCAAGGTGAGGTGGAATTGCATAGCTGTGCTGCAGTGGTGAACGCAAGCGACTGTATGTCACAATCTCGAAGGTGTTCTGAGGGACTGAATGCACCCACGTTTCTCTTCTTAGGGTTTCAGGGATTCCAGGGGGCTTCTGGCAAGAAGGAAACATCCGTCTGGGTGGTGACTTATATGATAAGACACAGAAAACTCACAAGGCTCACGTCAAAGTGTTTTCGACCTCAAATCCCATGCAAGGTTTCGGCGTCAATTACGTAGAGCGTGACACGATCAGTGAGCAAGGAAAGCCGGTAAAATCCTCGATTTACTGTACTCGACTTTGCTGACGAGACAATATCTCAATGCTCAGGACTGCCAAAGAGCGGACTGGGTAAAGGCGCACAAGAAGTGGTGTACGAACCTTCCGAACGTGACCGAAGTGGACCCCGAGTGTCCATACCAATTGAGGGTGGTTAGCGCGGAATGGTCTCGAGAAGACAGACTAGCGGTTTTGGAAGGAAAAGTAGAGGTCCCGCTGAGAGTTGTACCGTATCCGCCAAGTGATTGATCCGTACGTCGAGCTGCGTCTAACATGATTAGGATAGCGACAACAGTTGCTCGAACCTGCAAAGCGTCTGATTGAGAAGGGGACTTTCAGCAGCTGCTCAGCTGAGGAGATGCTGATTAGATGGTCATTCCGGACTCAATCGGCGATCCGTTTTCGTGGATACTTGGGGACAAATTCGGCTACTCGTCAGGACTTTTCGCCTCCTATGAATCGAGGGGGGGTTCAGTTTGCTGTGCAACCCCAATGCGTGTGGCCTTCGCAAACAAAAATGCATGTGACAAGAAATTTGCGCAGCATCCATCTGTGCTCCGATAGACCTCTGAGTAAGCTTCACAACAGTGCTACCCATGATGGTGACCGTCCAATTTAGTTAGTTCGATAAAAACAAAGTTCTTCAAGCTTCGTCCGAGAATCATTCGTTTTTGCTTGATCTACAAAGGCATACGTGTTTGCCTTCATAAGTAATTTAGCAGCCCTTGCATGAACCAGCTACCTTTTGTGCGCATCGTAACTGAAGGGCCCATGAATAGATTGTAAATGAGGCAGATTTCGAACGACAGTCTCTCGGATGTGCATGAGATACGGACAGCTAAGTTGACGTGCTCCTTGTTGGTGGAAATCCGTTGCGAGCATGCGTGCACGTAAAAACCCTTCAGCTTTCACCGTTCCCGCGGAGCTGCGCTCTGGCACGTGCGCAAAAGTTCTACTGGACAGATCGCGCTGAGCTTGCCGGCCACGATACTATCGTCGACAGTGTTAGGGTTTGGCGAAACCTAACCTCGTTAGAAAGTGCTTTTGCCAATAGCCGTAGAGTGTGTCTTTTCCATCATGTTTCAAATGAAGAAAGTTGACATGCACTGGCTGAGTACAGCCGCCGAACACCGTCAGAAGAGCGAAGAATTGCTGCTGCAAAGGACGACAAGAAGTCTGTCTGCTCCTCAAAAGGTCGATCTTTTTTGGCAAGAGTCTTTGTTTTAAATGTTCAAAGAAAGTTCAACTCTGACGGCATTTCGTTCCCCTTCTGCCTGGCCCCCATTTGTCTCCCAACCCGTGCTCGCACCCAGACTGCTGTCAATCTTTCCGGTAAAATCAGCCGACTCCGGCCCCCTTGGTCGAGATCACGTCTTCCATATGATCGCCCTGAGTATCTTGAGACCGGTTACTCCATCGATCAATGAGCTGGACTCAATTTCCCAGTCACTTCTTCACCGGGCTGTTCTCTCCAATCCGGCGTCCCAATCTTTTCCGTTTCTGCTTCCAATCCGGACAGGACATTCTCAATCAGCTCCGAATCGTCCGATCGCCCGCTGGACAGCTCGCTTAATGCCGCCGCTTTGATCTGCTCTTAGGCGCTGCTCCAGATTCTTTCAAAAAAACGGCGGGTTGACTTCCCCGTGTGCGCTACATTCCCCCATCCCGTTTCCGTGCTCCGTTGTAAGTCCTCCGGACTAGCAAGTTCCAACTCTCATCACTTTTCTTCGCCGCCTCCCTTTTCCTCGCCACGTTTCTCATCGTTCCATTCCGCTTCATCGGTACCCGTTCCGGTGCACCATCTGCCACGTCCGCCCATTCCGTCCTCAATCCCCGAGCCGTCTTTCTGCCTCTTCCCCACCCGGGACTCTCTTAGTTTCCTCATGAATCGACTGGGCGGAAGGAACTCGTCCTCAGCTGTGCGGACGGATCTGACCCCCGATTCTTCCACCTGACCGCGCCGGCCGCCTCTTCTTGCGATCCTAGCATGCGCGCCGCGAGGTCCCTGACGTCATCCGCGCCCTGGCTGACGCCAGCCCAGCCTTTGGGAGCCTCTCCGGGTGCGGTCTGCGGATGTCTCTTCAATTTAGCAATAGTAAGGGCTAGCAATAGTAAGCTCCAACACTAACACTAAAAATCTAACCTACAGAATCACCCGCTCCGCACCCGAACCCACCCTAACCCCCAAACTAACCCTACCCGTCCCAGGCTGGTGAGCTTACTATTGCTAAAGCTTACTATTGCTAAATTGAAGATTCTTGGTCTGCGGCCAAGCCCCCGCCGTCTCCTCAGCTTCTGCCCTTGAAGAAGGACCTCGCTCCTCTAGTTCCTTGCTGTTTTCGTCGCTCTCGGTAAACCTCTCCACTTTCCCGGCTGTTCACCTCCCTTCTCGTCCTCTCGCGCGCGCGCGAAGACTTTAAGGTGCCCCTTTCTTGCTGCCGTCCGCGTAGACTGCCTCGTGGCTCCAGACCTAATTCGCAGCATCGGCGGCTCCACGCGCTTCGTAGTGCGGACAGTTTGAAAGTTTGGCCGTGGGCGGCTTCGCGGCCGGCCATCTGACAGGCTTCGCTTCAGACACCGCTTGGGTCCTCGCCCATTCAGCTGATTGACTTTCAACCGCTCCAGTGCCCGGGTTTCGGTGGTCCGGCCGGCGGTTTGGGCATCTCTGGCTTCGAAGTGAGACGACGGCAAGAACGAGGAACAGAGCCGGGGTGGGGTTGATTGCGCGGTGCCGGCACACGAATCTTCCTGCAGCCAAAAATAGTCATTCGCGGCGGCAACATTGTCCCCGGAGCGCACGCAATCATGACGGGCGAAGGGCAGATCCCAGTGTGGGAACGGGTCGCCCCTCTTACGCGGCCGCCCAGGTCGGGCTCTTTGTCCAGCGCACGCGCGTACGCGCTCGCGCGTACAATTTCCAAGGCCAGTGAGCCTACACCGCAGCCTCCGCAGCTGAAGATCTTCCCGGTCTCGTCGCGTATGTACTGGAGCGGAACCGTCAACTATGTCGGGCAGTGAAGCGCGTCGAAGATTTCCCAACTCTTGGATCAAACAAGAGGCGACATTTCCTGTCGAAGATGATAATCCGCCATCCCAATCTGACGACGATTCGACGCTGTAGCTTGCATCAGATCCATATATGTAGTCTCAGTTGTGTCGCGTCGGTTGTTTCTTCTCCATTGACGATCGATGCTTCACCTTAGCTTGCCTTAGCTCAGCTAGCTCAGCCGATCGTCGTCGTGCATGGTCAGCAATGGTGCGCACTCGATGCAGCGCCGGGGCCTTTACTGCCATCTTCAAATGGAGCGGCGCCATTTTCTGTTACTAGTAAGACGAGAATGATCTGAGAAGAGGGATTGAAGGGCTTCAAAGATTGGGGTCGGCGCGCCACAGGGCAGCGGATTTTGTGTTTTTCTTGCCGTGTGAGTTTGAAGGTTCGGCGCATCAGAAAGCTTCGGGGCGCCTGCGCTGTACAAGTGCTAAAGCTTGGGTGCTCGCTTGAAAGGGAAAGTTCAAATGACATAAGAGACCTGGTGCTTTGATTGGAGCAGAGCGCTGACTTAAGCTGACCCCTGGAGCTGATAGCTGACTCGGACAGGTGACAAATTGCTTTGGAGGGTTATTCTAACTGGTGAGCACAAGCTTCCATTTCCCCTTGTTCTCTTCAGCTTTTGAGCTTATTGCTAATTTCCATCTTTATTGAAGTTGACTCATTCGAGAGTCTGATAAGCCCTCAGTACATACCTGGTATAAATTTGGATGATGAAGTCAAGATTTTGAGGTTAATTAAGTGCGCGTCATTCGCCTCCTGGAGAAGATTCGATTGGCCAGACTTCATCACTTTGGGTAGAATTTATGCACATTTGTTGTCTCTTCCGAATCGAAGATGAGGATTAAGCCTTATTCTGCGACAGCATGTAGCTTCTCAGATTCTCTCTTTCTGCAAGGAGTGAAGCGAAGCACTCAAAATTCAATTTTCTAAGCAAGAGAAAGAAACAGGCGACATTTCTGGTTTGCGCTCCAACTGAATTTCCCGTTCGGGTTGAGGTGCAGAGCCAGCACGAGCTTATTGACATGAGCTTATTGCAAGCCCAAATGAAGGCTGAATTACGCGTTCAACAAAATACTCTGCTTTGATTGATCAGGCTTTGGGAGAAGCTGAGAAAACATTGAACGTCACATCTGTGGTCATTTCTGACTACACCGGCCAGAACTCCGTGTACACTTGAAGTCGCTCTCGTAGATATCAGGAATTTCGCCGATATTGAGAACGGCTGAGCTCCTGATTTCTTCTTTCAGCTTTGCTTTGTCGGAAGACAAATGCGTGGCTGATTGTCTTGTTTATCGGTTTGCCGTCACTGAGTAAGTTGCGATTGAAAGGAGCTGTGCCTTCCATTTTGGCGTTATCTTTGCGGGCTGACTTTTTGGTATCTGCGGTCTAGCTTTGCCTCTGAAGTGGCTTTTAAAGCTGGGCCCAAAAAGGCATCCTGACAAGTCGAAAGACTCGCGTGTAATGCTCATCTTCCCAGTGCAGATTGGCTGAATGGCCCCCGGAAAGAAGCACCGGCCAAAGGTGTCCAAGGAAGTCGTTGCCTGGGAGCGCGAGCCAGACTTTGACACCAGGGTTAAGACTGTCCCAGTGGATTTCCCCGAGTTCCAGCTCGCGCTCAGCAAATACCCGCAGTGTGAGTTGGAGCGCAACCGGGAGATCGTCCGCCGGGCTCTGAGCGACAGTGAACAGCCGCACTGGCTCCCTGACACGTATATGCTCGTGAAGTTTCGCTGGGAGAACCCGATCTGTCAGTACTGCCGGAGAAAGCCCCGTATTCCGCGCCGGGAGACGGACGTGAGGCTCAAGAAGTGCACCGCGTGCCATTTAGTGTGGTACTGCAGCAAGGTGAGTGAAGAGATTGTGTCAAAGCTGCTTTATACCAAGATCAACTGAAGAGAAGAATGAGCGGACAGTTTGGAGCGTCTTTCATCGAGCTCTCAAGCGCAGTGGATTGGTTAGTAATGAAGAGAACTGTGCTCTGGTCCTTGGAAGGACAAGGGAAGGATGGCGCTGGTTGGCTCTACTTCTCCGTCTAAAAAGATGAGAGGTATTCGATTTCGGCTTACCCAATATAGACAAGAAAGGCTCGCTTACGTGAATGTGAGAGCGTTTTTGAGAATTTTTGATCTGTTGCAAGTTTCCTTCTGATGGCACCTCGCGACAAGGCATGGATGTTTTTCCATCCACGTGTCGTTCAAAGAGCTTGCTTCTCTATGAGGGCCACAGGGCTTGAAGTAGGAACTCCTGCGGAAATCTGTGCACGACAATTTAAGTCTGAATGATTGGAGCCGTCTACAAGCACAGAAACAAGTTGAGCGTCAACTGTCAGTCGAGTCTCCTTATAACGTGATAGGTATCCGAAGGTTTGGTAGTCTGCGTCCACTTGGTGCCTTTTCAGCAATCACGATTGACTTCAAAATCCTCGTGCAAATCCAGGCGAGTTTTTCAGTTATTGCAAGTTCAAGGTCGGTATAAACGTCACGGTGACCCTCAAGAATGCAATCTTTTAGAACTGATCAATGCGCGGGTTTATTTAAGATTCTGAATCTGACCTTCCACCGGCGGCCTCCCATTCATAGACGTCGTCTGTCCTCCCAGGAGTGTCAGAAGGCAGACTGGGTGAAGGCCCACAAGCAGTGGTGTACTAACCTCCCAAACGTGACCGAAGTAGACCCAACCTGTCCCTACAAGATGGCCGTTGGCTTAGCCGAAGTTCCAAACGACAACAGTTCAGCTGGGGGAAGGACAGGTACCATCATGGCATGGATCCCTGAAGGAGGAACTTCCAAAGATATCCGCACCCGGCGCTAGTACGCAATTCAGTAGAGGAGCGGAACGGTTGGATCTGGATCAACATGTTGTGAAGTAACACTCTGACAGAGTTGAACTAAAATCGATGATGATTCGCGTGTGTGGATTGCTTGCTTGAGTCGTGCTCTTGACGCTGCGATAAGAAGTTTGTGGGGCAGATCGTATCCGCCGAAAAGCTTTAGGGCACAAGAACGTTGTCTGGAATTGAGCGGTTAAGAATCGGGTCAACGCATCCCAATGTGTTTTGATATTCAAGATGCATTAGCCCGACATCCTCCAAAAGAGGGACCCGAGTGACTCTTCGGTACGCCTTGTACAATGTTTTCAGCCTCGTTTCATCCCGTTGCATTGAATTAATTTGTCAAAGCATTGGTTTTCAGTGAGTCATCGCAACTGAAAACTTGGTTACATATCCGACAAGCGGGCATGGAAGGTCAATCGAATTTCCGGATTGAAAGGGCTAGTAGCTCATGCTTAGATTGTGCAATTGACATCTTGCGATGCAGAACCCCCTCATCCTGGATGATCAGTGCGCGTTTATGACGGTCGAAATCCAGCTTAAACCGCTACGGTGGCCGTACGCCTAGCCCTCACTTGCAAATCAATGTATTCAGAATGGTTATGAACTAGCACTGTCAATGGTCATTAACGGCGCCACACGCTAAGTAGGATAGCATCAGTAACGGGCAGGGGTTCATAATGGCCCGCGGCGCATAGGATTGCATTCCAACCTATAGTACCATCAAGATGACGCACGAGCCATCGTCCTTCAAAGCCTACCAAATGCTTCCTACCCGACCCGCTGCTACCAACATCCTGGCCTAGCACAAGATAGAGTCCGTCACAAGAACTTGTTGGTCAGATGTTTTGATCGAAGCCCTCTGCAAAAGCCTAAGTAAGCGTTTCCAAATTTCGTTGCTTAGTGGGCTGCATACATCCGGCCAGAGTTGTAGCGTCTGAACGGTGTATGGGTGATTGCTGGTAGGCCGGTAGTTGTATTTCAATTTATAAGCCGACTCACACTTTCAAGCTCATGCTAACAACATTGTAATCCATGAGAAGCCTATGGCCCGGCGCCGCCACTGGCTACAGCTCAACGAAAAACAAGACACCATCATGACATACGCTTTTATAGGTTACTAAGCTACCACAGTTTTGAAGCGTGCCGCCATGCTTCTATTCGTATAAGAGATACATGTTAAACGCAAAGACCATTAAGTATGGGATTGTATGTAGGTTGCGCCGTTGCACACTACCCTCATGCAGGGGCAGTGCACTCTACGGCTTACGCATTCACATGATCCAACCAAAGCTGGCGGGGTTGCCAATTACAGAATCATTTACAAACAGGAAATGCAGTACATAACTTAAGCATGCCTGGCATGCCGAATCAGAGGCGGACAAGGATGATCCTGACACGCCTCCCACTGACCAAGCAGATCAATAGTATCCACTTTCTATGTTTTGCATGAAGACAACTCAATCTGCTTGGACGTGGCTTGTAAAAGCCATCATTTGTAGAGCAGTTACACGCCCATCATTCCATGTTGGCACCGCATATGACACGCATGGAAACAGAATTTAAGGTAGACACAACATTTTCAAGCCCCGCGTCCCCGGCACAAGAACGCAAAGCCCGCTAGCACCGTCCATCCGCCCTAGTTCATTCTCCTGATCAAGTTGTTGATCTTGAGTTCCCGGTTCCCGGCATCCCCCCCCTCGATGTAGTGGGTCCGCTTCTTCTTGAGCCCGCCGAGGGGCGCCGACAGCTTGAACGGCCACAGGTAGTTGTTGGCCTCCTTGAAGTGGGGGCCCACTGTGTAGATCTCGTGGATCAGGTCCTCGATGCAGATGATGCCGAACTTGCCCAAAGCCTGCGCGCGAAGAACGGAAGTGCTGACGTCAGCATAAATGCCTCCTGACGTCAGTATGGACGAGACCTATGTGTTCGACTCCTTCAGTGCTAACTTCGTATGGGCGGACTGCAGGTCGTCGTGCGCACGACCAAACTCGTCGACGCTCTGTCGAAAGGAAGCGCTCAAGGAGGAAGAGCTGCGTCTGCATGACTGGGTCCGCAGAACCGAATCCTTCTGCTATGAGGGGGATCGTCAATTCCTGTCGTCTTCGAGGTGTTTTAACTTGCTTTGCCGTCCCGACTTACACAGAACTTGAGTAGCACGTCAGCTTTCCATCGGGTAAACAAGCGTGCAGTTCAAGAGGGTCATGACCACTACAACCAGAGTGTCAACACGTCTAAACTCTGGTAACACTTTCAGAGATGAAATGTCGACTGCACTCAAATTGTGAACGAGGTCACCCTTCTAGTCCAATCTACTATCGCCGCTTCAACCCTTGCAAAGCAATCTTCCTCCTGATAAGAGATGTTCGATTCTTACCTCCTCAATGACGGCGTTGTCTGTCAAAGGAATCCTTTGCTTGTTCAGCTTGCCGTACCCCCGCTTGTAGATCATCTCCTTCACGCTCTTCAAGTTAGGGTACCTGCCATTCAAAAATTCTGGAAGTCAGAGCAGTGGAAGAACTCTTCGGTCAGGGCTGTGCGAGAGTCAGAGGGCGTCATGAAATTGGAATCGGTGATCTTCTTCTGAGGAATCTCAACCAAAGCCGTTTCACAATCTCTTGAAGGAAATCCGCTGCAAGTAGACAAGAAAATACTGTAGACGTTTCACAACCACGACAAGCTACTAGAAAGAGTGCCATCCTGTCAACGGATCAAACAAGACGAATCTACTCAAGGATTTCGAGAAGCCAATTCCCAAACCTTCCACACATGTCACACATTCTCAAAGTGCCGCAGATTCAGGACTCGAATACCACGAAAGAGTGCGTTTCCAAACTCTTGAAGAAGACTGCGCGGCGGGGCGGATCAGGTTGGCAAAAACGAGCAAGTTTTTATCTCCATGAGCGCACAGAGTGCACTGCATCAAAAACACGGACCAAGCTACTCATCATCTCCGCCACCCGCCGCGACAGTCTTCCAACACAACCCAGACAGAGGAGATCCTTCTAAACTCGTCAGATGGAAATAGCAGACAACACAAGAGCAGCGAGACCTGCACCAACTCAGTATTGATGGCACAATGAGAAGGTGGAGATCGTTGGTATCATTCAGAACACATTGCAAAATGCTGGAGCACAGAACTCTCGACCTTCTTCCTCCCAAAAACAATTGAAAGTTCAAACAGCCAAGGATGTCACCGCTGGGCAAAACGCAGAGCTCAAAATAGCGCACTTAGGTCAAAAATCGTTTCTCTTTTCTTTCACAAATGTTGCAAACACCACAACAGACATAGAAGATGTGTCACGAAATAACTTGAGGACCTTGGAAGCCTGAACCTCAGACCTCGAACCTCAAACAACTCTCACGCAACTCAACATTGGGTAACATGCTGACCATCGTCTTCTCTGCCGTCATCAAGTCGCCACTGAATATGCACAAGGCTCAAGCATCAACATGCTAACACCCTAGAGCTTGTACCGCGCAACCAGTATCTCTCACCCGTAGGCAACGTAGGGCTCGACCCGGTGCAGCATGTTGAGCGTCGCCTTGTTGACCTTCATGAAGACGCCGTTGAAGATCTGACGCAACCGCAGCAGCTGCAGGATCTTGCGAGTCTTGGGGTGCATGTCATTGATACCCCGGATACGGATCACAAACAGCAGCTTCGCCTCCGCCTCCACGTAGAACCCGCCCTTCAGCTTCGCCTCGCGCTTGATGCGGATCAGGTCGGCCTCCTGCAAAATACAGCCCTCTGTACTTAGAAACAGAATCTTTCGATAAATAACCTGGCCTCCCGCTTTGGCTTGCTTTTCCATCACGATGGGATCCTGTAGAAAACAAAAGTATAGGCGTCTGATAAGTGAAGTCTTTCAGGAATGCTGTGCTTAATCCCAACCTTTAGCAAGAAATTTTCCAATGTGCTGGACCCCCGGCCAGTGGCATGCCAAGTCAAGCCTTCTACACCCAAGGAAGGGTTGACAGACAGATGGAGTCTGTGCAGAGACGAAACTTGTCAAACTGGCTAAGGTCGCTGAGTTCAGTCGCTCAACCAAGACCTGTCTTGTTTCCGTGCTCAAATTCTTGCTCAGAAACAGCCTCCCCAAGTTTCTGCCACTGCCCTCAGCCATCAGCTTCCGATGAGTTCTGTTCAGGAACCATTCCATAAGTGACCATGCCTTGCCAGACTGCCCCAAGTCCCTTTGCCGTCTCTACTATACTAGCAAAAGGGCTTTACGCCGCAACCCGAGGGAGTGCCAACCCGAACCTAGATGCACCCCTTTCCGAGAGTGCAGCTTGCTGTGCATCACTAAGTTCCACAAGCAACTCGCTCCGTACAATCTGCTGAGCCAGTTCTTTCTCTTCTGTGCCCTGCGTTCGAGTCCCCTCTTGCTAACCCCTGCTAGATTCCAGAGCCCCTAGTTCATTCGCCCTACTCGTCGTTGCCCCTCCCAACTGCCCTGATTGCGACGCCAGCGACAATCTCCAAAATGCACAAAAGCCAACGATTCTCAACTACGGCCACACTGCGCCAGCAGTCTCTGGCGCCAGCAAGCATGGATGCCCCTGCTCAACCCAAGGCACCTTAGAGGACCTGGATTGGTCCGAAGACAACAAGTGGCACCTAAAAAGAGCAAACTCAAAATCCAATCACAACAGTCCATCAGGAATGCCATCGCCACTTACCAAGACAACCAGTGAATCAAGAGCAGTCCATCCATTTGCAAAGTACAAGCTTGAGTGATTCAATGTCTGGGCAATCACCTGCTGGCGGTACTCCTTGACGTACGCCTCTGCCCTCTTGAAGATGACCTTGCGGTCGGCGCGCGATTTCTTCTTGGCGGCCAGCTCCGTCTCCTTCTTCTGCTTGGTCCAGTTCTCATCGCGCTTCCGCTTCTTCAGCACAGACTCAGGCACCTTCTCGGCGGCCTGTCAAAGAGCGTATTCCATATCAGCGACTTGTGTTGCTCACAGTGGGACGTAACCTCCTCACTGCTGCCCTCGACCCCTCCTAGCAGAGTCTGCCCTACCAGCAAAATGCATTTCTGGCCGAATATGATCCAGCCGCAAATATCGCGACCAGAAGTACGCTTCGGGGAGGAAAAACAAACCAGTTACCATTACCACAATCCTACAAGGGCCAAGATTGAGGATCCGCAGCTATGCATGTGGTGGGTGCCGGCCGTAAATATTAGACTTTGATAGGTTATCGTCTGGGCGCCTTCTAACGATCAGTGTTGCTTCATAAAGCATCATCTTTGTTAGTGCTGCTTTGCTTTTGCTGGCCCCTCTTGTCTGGGACTTCGCTTGTCTTACGATGACCTCAAGGGCAATCCGCATGAAACAACCCCTGTCTGATCCTGCGTATGAAGCCACAATCTGCTCAAGGCAGGGAAGTAGTGAAAGCAACCGTACCTTGGCCTGAGGGGCCGGGGCCTTGGCAACAGCCTTCTTGTCTGCCATGATCCTATCCTGCCCTGCAGCAACACAATCTCCAAGGATTAGCGATACAATTTGAAGTAGGAGAGGGGTGGACACATGAGTTTCCCTTTCCGTCAGCAATGGAAACAGCTTTTCGTAGTTGCATCCTTCCAAAAGCAAAAAGGCCTTGGCCCAAAATAACGCTGTCCTGCCTATCCCTCAAGCACCAAAGGAGGAGCCTAAGGTGTTAAAAAGCTGAACCGAGTAAAAAGAGCGGTTTGACCTTCTTTGGCGCCGCATAATTTTACGAGAATCAGAACAGCATCCATTCCACCAACATAATAAGCAGGCTGACCGTTAACATGCGGCCCAAGAAGTCAAAACACAGCGCTATCTCCCCGGAAGGATGACGTGTGCATTGCTCCGCACATTGCCTACAACTTTTTGACTTGTTAACCATGCACATCCCGTTAAAGATAGGGTGGTAACGGTTCAAGCAATGACGGGACAGCCCCTCCAACCCCAACAAGCCTTCTGCTGATGTCCCCTTGCCCCCTGATACTGCCACATGCTCTGCTTTGCTTCTCCTTTGCACTGCCCTGTTGCCTGCCCCATCTCATCAGCCCGATAGGGCACATCCAAAGCGTCACCCACTTCAGGGACGTCTCGCAGCCTAGAATGCAGGACAGATATTTTCCTTCCTTCAACACTCTTGCATACAGCAGGAAAGCACCAGCAGAAGAAGGGAGCGATGGCCCCCTCACCTTTACAGCCAGCGGGCGCAGCTGCCTTCGGAAGGAAGCTGGAAAGAGGAAGAAGGTGGTCCTGGCTGGGGAGATGAGCTGGGGCGGCGGCTCGGGACCCCTATCCGAACTAAGCGTTACGGGTTTGGTTAGAGAGTACAGATCTGGAACGCTGTATGAAACTTTCACGATGAAACGTAACGCTGCAAGTCATCCTCAGTTTGTGAAAGGGTTTGTAGTACCTATCTACCTCAGGTCCTCAGCTCTGCACTCGAGCAAATGACAATTCATGGCCGCTGCTGAGTTTGAACTCATGCATGAGAGATCTGCTTCTCCCCAGCTCTTTCATTGTTTCAACCTGCTCACCAGCTGCTCACTGCGCGAGCAAGGTTCTTTGGAGCCCATCGTGACGAAAATTCAAGGTGACACAGAACGCCACTTTGCTCTTTCTGTTCTGTGAGCAACTGATTATATCTGATTTTGTCCTGAAGATTGATGAAAGCGATGGCGTCGAGAGAAGCAACCTCTAGCACCAGCACTGCAGCTTTGACGGTGCAAGAGTACCTGGACAAGCACCAGCTCTCGCTGAGGATCGAGGAGGCGGTCAATGCAGCGGTCAGGGCACGAGCAGAGGAGCCTGTGAGCTATCTGGTAAGCTTGGATAGAAAAAGTCAGCCAGCCTTGGATTAAGAGAAGAGAGTTCGATCTTAGTTGCGGTTTAGACTGACCGCTTGTTGTACAATTTGGAAGGATGACGAGCTTTATGACAGAATCAGATCTTGAACAATGCACTGGACTATCCACCTTTTCTAGGAAAATTAGGGGTTCAGCGGACCAACCCTTCTAGATTAGGGTTTGCATATCATGGGCTATATCAGCAGGACTGCACACACAAGAGTAGGCGCCCATTGTACAAGAATTATGTTGAGAGCTTCTTTCAAGTTTGCGGCTGTCCTTGGCCTAAATGGCAGGCAAAGTTACAATTGCAATTGAGTCAGACACTGATGTTCCTTCTGAACTGGCAACCACTTTTGGCAGATTGCCTTGTGTAAGGGCCACTTCTAAAGCCACTTTGTTCAAACCAGACTACCTGCTGAAGTCGATGGTTCATAAAAGATGTTATGGCGCAATTCGGGATTGAAAGTGGGGGCACAAAGCCCACAATTTCGGGGCCAGAATGTGGAGGTTGAAGCTCTTGCCGACAGGATGATGTTTGATGATTAGTTGCTAAAAAAGCCTCTGCCACCATCTACCTCTTCAAGGTGGCAACTGAACTGTCTCCAAGGTAGATTACAGTCACATTGAGGTCAATTCTAAGACCACAATTGCCAAAGAGACGCGAGTTCAAACCTGAACATGTACGTTGTAGACATTCACCAAACCATCACCCTCGCGAAAACGACATAAGTAGATTTGAAATGAGACAATCCAAGCCTCTCCATTCTGCAGGCGGACGTATTGAGGCGTGCGGCCCCCGCTGTCATCACCAAGGTCAGGGCTCGCCAGATCTATGACAGCAGGGGCGTCCCCACCATAGAGGTCGATGTGCAGACAAGGAAAGGGTCTTTTCGAGCGGCGGTCCCGAGCGGAGAGGCCACCAGGGGGTAAGTGATTCACATGCGCTTTTCATTGGCCTTTGATTCTGGTGGAGACTTCGGATTTGTAGCGAGCTGTGGCCACGAGCGGAGACGCTGCCATCTGGGTTCCGGTGGGCAAAACGCCTTGAGGGAGCTGCATCGTGCACACTGTTGCATCTTCACAGGTTATGTAACTCGATGATTGCCGTAATCTGTAAAGAGACTCCTTAGCGTACAATTGTGTAAAGAAGTATGCGATCCTGTGTACGCTTCCTCGTTGATATAGCAAAGACTACGTTGCATCAAGTGAAGAGGTCTCTTTTCCGCAGTTCAGCAGGCGGTGGCAGAAAGCATCACAGTTTTGGCTGCCTCACCAATCCCTACCAAACATGCCTTGGTAATTTCAAACCAGCAACTTCCTCCCTACCAGGCACGACACTTCCGACGAAGATGCCTCAAAGTCCCCACCCAGTAGTGTGAGCCAAGCGATTGCGATTGTCAACACCGTTCTTGCGCCGCCGCTCATCGGGAAGGACCCTACAAAGCAGGTGGAGATCGACCAGCTGATCTGCAGAGTGCTTGAAAAGAGCGGAGACAAGACGGGAGGTGGGGCGAGCGCGATCCTGGCGGTGTCTTTGGCAGTGTGTCGAGCGGGTGAGGCCTTTCCTTGTTATTCAGATGTGGACATTTGAGCTGCTTCTGATTACAAGACGCCTTTTGCAGAGTTGTGATAAACGTGAGGAGAACAGACTTTGGTGCTTTGAGAAGTCAACGCTGCTTCCTAAGATGTATAACATTCGTGAATGGTTCAGCATTGGTTTGCTGTATGAATCTTTCATGTCTACTCTCCTGCAAAAACGTTCGACAAAGCGAACGAATCAGAATAGATTCTTGCTCAGTTCTATTGTTCGATCAAAGCGCGGAGCAAGCTGCACCTTTGGACAGCTGTTTTCCGGCTAAGGTTGTCTTGGTATGACTGGCCCCATGAATTCTTTAAATGGGTCCTTCAATTGCGCTTTCCCCCATGTTCGGCCCCAGGCACTCGGTAGTATATTTATACCATGACTTCCTCGATATTAGGCTGTGATCTGCACTGACACATTGGTAACCGACTTTTAGGTGCTGCGGAAAAGGGCGTTCCGCTCTACCAGCACATTGCTGAGCTGGCAGCCAACATTCGACTAGTCCTCCCAGTTCCCGCTTTTACCGTCATCAACGGGGGGCGCCATGCAGGGAATAAACTGGCGTGTCAGGTAATTGCTCATACGCCATGCCTCCTGAAGTTTCTCCAGAGCTGGAAGTCATTCTTGCAGGCTCTATTTTTTAAGACCTGGCTCCTTTGGGGACTGCAAATTAGTATTTGGGGACTGCAAATTAGTACTTACAAAGTAAGTACTCCTCGTTGTTTTTTTCGCGACAGACATCACGACCTCGCTTCGACCGTCGCCCACCCCAGTCCCTTGAATCCGGACTAGGCTACTTGATCCGTATTATGTTTTCTATCTGCCCAACATCCGCCTCAATTCCTCATTCGCTCCACTTAGGTTTGGAACTTCGATCCGATGGCGCATCGCAATATAGGCGCCCAGACCCGCTGAAGGTCCTAGACCTCTTGTGACCTCACTGCCAGCTATCACGAAAAACAAAGGAGGCGAAGCGGGCATGTCCGCAGCGCCCCAGTAGTGGAGTGTTACTGCCGCTGGCGAACTCTCTTTTCTTGCTATGATCGCGCATTCGAATCAGGGCACTAGACGTTGACTCTCCGTACATAAGAAGAGACTTTCGGTAATTGGTTGCTCGGCAAAACGACCCGTCAGTGCCCCCCCCCCCTGGTCGTTGCTTTGGGCGTTTCGCTTGAAGTCAGCTTATTGACTGACTTCGGCCAATATACACCGCAGGACTTCACGATCCTCCCAGTGGGCGCAGACAGCTTTGCGTCCGCGATGCGAATGGGCACCGAGACGTACCACCAGCTGCGGACCGTGATCAAGGAGAAGTACCCGGCCGATCCGTGTTCCATAGGGGACGAGGGCGGCTATGCTCCAAGCATCTCGAGGTGAGTCCACTGTCTAGCCAGGTTTTGATTGCTGAAATAATATGATCCTACGAGTCTAACGTGAAAGAACTACCGAATAGATGGAGCACTCCAGAGGTGACTGGCTCGCAAACTCTGACTGGCTCGCAGATAGATTCTTTGAAATTTACATGTTGATCAGCAACAGCAACACACAAAGAAGCTTGGAAGCATTCAGTGAAAAGGCAATTATCGCAGGCATTGCCAGGCCTTCACATTCTCAATCAAAGCAATTGGCATAGAAGAGAGGCGGTGGAAAGGAGTTTCTTGAACTGATTAGGTTGCGCTTCTTCAGATTACAAGTTAACAACTCAGCAGACCTCAAGGAATAGATACACAAGTACGATAGTCTCGAACAGCCTTCTTGGTTCTTGCAGTGGGAGGGAGGCTCTTGACCTTATCGTGGCTGCGATTGATCGGGCTGGAGGAACGGGGAGGGTCAAGATCGGCCTGGATGTCGTCGCAAGCAATCTCTTCACTGGTAAGACTTGCTGTACACGTGGCGGCCTTTAATTGGCGTTGCATCGACCTAGAATTCATGAGGAAGGAGCAGCGTGCATGGCGCGTGTGTGTCATGTTCTGATTCTCAGTCCAGGTTCGTTTTGCTGGGGTGCTTCACGGGAGACTTTCTTCTCATCCACACGGGTTCCCTAAAGTGAACGAGACCTAGAGGGACCTCCTGCGATTTACGAACTTTGGCCACTCGTTGTCTTCTGACTACTAAACGATGTCAGCAGCATTTCGGAGGAGCAGTGTCATTCATGGATAAGAGCGGATGCGCTCGTGAAGTCTACAGTTGGCCGCTCCTTGGATGAGCTTGTGAGAGGCAGCTTTGCGGCGTTTAAGATCCTCGGTTCCCGCGTCTCAAAAGCATATTTTAGAGCTTGGCTTCGTACGCTGCTCTGCACACTCACAGCTTTCGACGTGTGATTGAGTCTGTAGACCGTGGACTTCGCTCGTTCCCCTGTTCTGATGGTTTCGCGGCTTCCAACTTCTTTCTCATACCGTTCTTCCAGAGGCAAAGGTATACGACCTCGACTACAAGACGCCAAACAACGACGGGAAGCAGAAGAAGACGGGGGCCGACCTGATGACGTCATATAAGGAGCTATGCGCAGCATATCCGATTGTGTCGGTGGGGGATCCCTTCGACCGAACCGACTGGGAGAACACCAAGGGCCTCAACGCTGCTGACGTGTGCCAGGTGCGTTTTGGTTCCAATTACCAGTTCAATGACATCAGATATGGAGCCGTGCGACGCATATCCGCTCGTGTTTGTAGGAGTTCCCTTCCGACCGGACCGACTGGGGAAAAATCAAGGGCCTGAACGCCGCTGACGTAATCCTGATGCAGTCTGACCTACAGATCCAAGGTGGACCACGACTTATTGCGATCTGACAACTGCTAGGCTTAAAGAGTAACGGAATGCTTCTATCCTTTTCTGGACCAATAAAACGTTCTCGCACTTTGTGCCTGGAAAGTTTTTTCTACGTAGGTGACCTGACAGAGTGTTCCGGCTTTGGGTGTGAAGCGATTGTTCAGCTAGGAGTAGAGTCTTTGACGTGCCAAGAATCTGAAGGGAACAATTTTGCATTGCGAGAGTCGACCGCCTGGCTGCAACAATCAATTCTGTCATTCGTGCGATCGGGGCAGAAGTCGAACCCTCGTTCTGCGTTTCGCAGGTAGTCGGGGACGAGTTGCTGGAGAGCAATGTGAAGACGATTGCAGCGGCCGTGCAGGGCAAGTGGTGCAATGGGCTCTTAGTCAAGGTGAGGGCGTTTCTCCCTCACGTCACAGAAACGGAAAAGTCGTATTTGACATGCTCGGCACGGGTCGCTCATTTGAAATCATGACCATGAGTTTTCTGGTCAAGCGGTACCTGACAAGGCGTCAACCGGGTCTGCTTTGCAAACGGGGGCGGAACATCTTTGCAATCCCGAGGCGCGGATCAATGTTCACGTTCCTGTATTATGAACAAAGGAGGTAGAAGAGCATACAGATGACCACTCTCGAGACCGTTTACCGTTCAGTACCGTTCAATATTCTTTTGTGATACCTTAAAGCTTCAGATAAAGCAGCCTTTGATTCCCCTAACCTGACCGCGTGCTCCTGATTCAACTTGCAGGTACACCAAGTGGGAACGGTGTTCGCAAACATGGATGCGGTGCAAATAGCAAAGGAGGCAGGCTGGGGCGTCAGAATGTTGTGAACAAAAGTCAAAAGCTGAACTTATGCTAATAAGCTATCATGCAAATCGACGATGCGGGAACGTTGTCTGCAACCGTTGATGCGGTGCGAACGGCGAAGAAGGCGGGCTGGGACGTTAAAAGGTTGTTTCAAGAGCTTATCGAGCGCTAATAACCTATTGTGTCCGCGAGTATCGATGCGGTGCGAACGGCGAAGGAGACGGGCTAGGTCATCAAAATGCTGTGGATGAAAACTCATAAACTTACCCAGTGCGTATAACCTATTGTGCAGGTACACGATGCGGGAACGGTATCTGCAACCATCGATGCTGTGCGAACGGCTAAGGAGGCGGGCTGGGGCGTCATGGTGGGTCATGGGAGTGGAGAGACGGACGATGCGTTCATTGCTGACCTGGCAGTGGGGCTCGCGGCGGGGCAGTTCAAAGCGGGGGCGCCCTGCCAGAGCGAACGGCTCGCAAAGTACAATCAGGTGAAACTGCGTTTCCTCCCTTTTCTAGTTCCTTCTTTTCCTGCTGACCTGGCAGTAAGGCCCGCGGTTTAAGTCGGGGGCGCCCTGCCAGAACGAACGGCTTGCGGAGTACAATCATGTAAACTGTGTTGCCTCCCTCTCCTAGTTCCATCAATTTGTTGACCATTTTCTTTAGCACGTTTATAAAGATGGCCTTTGGACCCTCTCTTTATACCGTCATCTGGTCTTCCTTTGTGCACTGCGTTTATCTGAGACTCGGCCGTAGGACCGTCCCCTTATCGCCTCATCTGCTTTTCCTTTCTGTATTACGTCTAAGAGGTTCAGCTGGTTGGGACTTAACGCTCTGATGATACATTCCCGCTTCTCGGATCCGATCATACAGCCAAGATCTACGAGAAGCTGCCAAAGGCACGTGCGTCAACTTCGACATCGATTTCTAGAAGGACTTGTACAAAGATAGCCTCTTCGTCTTCTTAGATTTATCTGCATCTGTCGGACTCCATTGCCCTTCACGTAGCGGGAGTGCGAAAAAGTTCATACATTCCTCTGATTTCTGAACCTGTGTCGCAATCCTTGCGTGCAGCTCTTGCGGATAGAGGAACAACTCGGAGACAAGGCGATCTACGGCGGCGAAGATTTCCGGCACATACCCTGGGTTACTCCGAGCCCGCCAAGCAGACCGGCGATACCCCCAGTGCCATACCGGGAGATTGCACCGAACCATTCCTGATTTTAGAGATCAACAGCAATATATTCGACATACAGACCAAAGAATCATTCTGTAGTAGCATAGTCCTGGCGTACGGTTTTCTTATGAATTCGGCAAGCTCTCCGACACTTTTGTCATACTGGTACTAGCATGCGTACACTCCGACCAGTACTGACAAGCTAGCAAGTTGCTCATGCAACGAGCAGAGTCAAAAAGGTCAGAATAGTAGGCTTTTCTCTATGATCGTTCTCACAATTTGTAGCACTGATAGACCGGACCGCCCTGTTGCTAGAACCAATCTGTTCCATAAGGGACATCAAGTTGCGCATGAGCCGGGCCTGGCATGTGATCGTTCGACCTCAGTGTGTGCTCAGTTAGAATGTTGATTCAAAAATGGTGCTGGCTAGCGCTCAAGGTGGGCCGCCTGAAGTTGGTTGCGCGTCCAATGCTCTGGCATGCCCGCGTACGCCGGTCCGCTTAGCAAACGTATTTGGCACGCCCATACTTTATTTGCTGCTTGAAATGATGCAAGATCGATCGGCGGTACGTACGCGCATTTACGTGTCGGATTGCTGCTTCATTCAGTCGGATCGCCATGACTCTTGGAAGATGATTGCAGTTGGTCAGCCGTCAGACACAGTATATACAAACTTGTCGGATCCTAGCTTCGAAATTGTTGAAGATCATGTGTACGTGCACTGAGGGCCTCGCAAACCGTCTCAGTGGCCCGCGCACATGTCGGATAGCCGCTCGCATGCACAAACCTACACGTACGCCATGTAAAGCTATTGTGCTTATATCGGACTCACTGATCGAGTTGATCATACACATATATGTATACATAGTATGTATATATATGGATGTGCACGTCAACGGGTTGGCAATCAGCTGAGGCAGCAAGACAGTTGGACGCCGGCCCTGCAACATTCTCGCTCGGATGTCATCTATGCCAGGGCAAGTACCTACTTCTCTTCAATGATTGCATAATGAGCTAGGCTGAAAATTCTGAAGTTCTGCAACGTAGGTCATTTGAGGTGTCTTCTGCCCCGCGCGCAGCGCCTGGCATTGTTACACGCTGTGACAGTCTCAAGTTTGTCACCTTGACGCACTTCACTCAGGTCAACGCCAGATGTCAAAAAAGGCACGTAGGTCAGTACAAGGACACAGGGTTCAAGATTATTCCAGGAAAGGTAGAGCTGTAACCGATCTGTGAGGCAGAGAGATATGCTGGCAGACTTCACCTCAATACGCCTTTTGATGGTGGATGATGGGCCACCCCTTTTCTAACTTGCTCGAGCTAGATCAATTCCCTTAGTAAGGCTCTCAAACCACGGCAACAACTGTCGGTTGTTCAAACTTTATGGCAGCTAGCTTTACACCCTATGTACAATTCGTCGGCTACTTCAACATATGCAGACGTACATAACGGCAGCCACTCCTAGTATCGCGAGAAGAGCTCTTGCCTTGTTGAGCTTGCTTTGCCGTGAGATGTAGTTCTCGAATTCGTCTTTTAGTCGAATGAGAGATGGCAGCAAGGACTCATCTTTCTGCAGCGAGCGAGAAGAGTCAAAATTGACCGTGAACGTCCGAAAACCATTTTCATGACTTCAATCACCGATTGATCAGCTCCTACACACATGCACCTCATTTCTCAAAAGGACTCTGAATATGGATACATATCCTTCAAATGCGTACTTGTCAAATAAGACTCCTTCTCATGGTACTGAATTTCAGGAAAAAAAAGTTGTGGGAATCTCAGAAAAGCTCATTCATTTAAGACCTGACGTTACAATGCACTACATGGTCCTCAAGTGGTTGGCCCTCAATTAACAGGAAGAGCTTTTGTTACTTTGTTACTCTTTGATATCAATTGTGGGAATCGTAGATCATCAGTCACCTGTAACACCCTCTGTAAGGGTCTGTCTAGAAGATACATAAGAAACGGATCGTTTGAGACTGACCTGAAGTTCGCCATCTTCTCCATGTAAGGTTCCGTTATCGGTGGTCCTTACGTTTGGATCCTCTGCAAAACAGGAGTAATAAGAGCAAGACAAGTCAGAACAAGCAGTGACCCGTTGAAACGCTCAAAGCTGCATTGAATTTACCATGCAACAACAATAAAATTCGGCATGAGAAAGCGAAGCCGGAGCGAAGCCCTGAGAACTGCTTGAGCTAGTTGTGACGATTGTTCTCATCACGCTCCTCCTCTTACCTTGAAGAGTTCGTTCGGCATCCTGTACCTCTAACAAAAGACGGAGGAGAAGATTGCTTTTCTTCAGCTGATCCGTCTCCGCTTCGACGTACTTCCGACCGGTTCCCATGAATGCTTTTTCCAAAGAAGCCTTAGTCCTCTTCCAGAGTCGAGCAAAGTGACGAAGCTTCTGGAATAGGGCTTTGAGACTTCAACCTTTTTCCCCTTCACGATTGGCCTTGATCAGAAACGCTACCACTCGAGGCTACGTCACGCGTCAGGTGATTGTCAAAGATTTCATCCAAACCGCTCTCAAAACAGCGGCTCATTCCTGATTAGATTATTCTTAAGTCAGCACTTGATTTACAGCAAGACATAGCTTCTTAGAGGAGATTTATGCGGACGAATGATCCACATTAAGCAGAAGCTTGTGAAAAGACCAACCGATTCCAATTAGGCCGTCAAATACAAAGGTGGAAACTCTCAAAGCAGCTCAGGACGATGGTTTTTGCAGGCAGCTGCCTCGTATGCCGCCTCTGGAGCAAAGTGTGAGACAGATTCAAGGTTGATTTTAAAGAGGGGCAGGCTTTGATGAGCGTGACGCAAAGACAGTACAGCTAGATTCGTTCCACACATGACACCGAAGACCGTCCGTAGCACATTGGGCAGTTCCGTTGGTTCCGTCGGACTTCGAACCGTCCGCGAGGTTTGATTGAAACCTCTCTTTGATGACGCGACCGCGCACCCGGCCGCGCGCCGCGCTAGCTCAGTGCTTGCTTCAACTCAAGTCAAGGTAACTTGAAGGGCTTCGAGTCTTTTAATAGTACTGTGAGCAGTTTAACAGGGATCGTTAGGGACCGTCTTTGTTTAGCTGGAGCCTTTTCCGCAATTGATCCTGCTTGGGGGGGCGCCCAAGCACAGACCAAGCTGCCGGGAATTTTCCGCAGGAGCCTCCTTGAGGTCTTCAGAGCATGGCTTGCGAGGATGCAGCACCGTGCATCAACTCTGCTTTGCCGAGGGAGATACTTACTCACATAGGACGACTTCTAGTCTCAGATCAGCCTTCCAGCAACAGAAAGTATGGTCGTCTGGAGAGCTTCATGCAAGTTTGCAGAGAGTGGCGCTCAATCGGACGAGAAGCAGCTAAGGGTCTATGGATCAACTGCAGTCTTCATGGAGGGGATGCAGAAGAGCATGTCTTGAGATTGTTACGCTTCTTTCCCTACGTAGATGCCCTTCATCTGCGAACGCAGGACCAGACCACGTTAGAGGTATCTGAGAGAGTAATAAGCTCTGTTGATCAGAAGCCCGTCCGCATCAAGCATCTAGCATTTGGCCTTTACTACCCTGCATCTCCACTTCGTGCGACGCCAGACGCCATTCTTCGTTGGGACTGGCTTGAGAGCCTTGCTCTGGGGAATGCTTTTGTTCTTGGAAGCATGTCCGGAATGGGAAGGTGGATCCACCTGAGAAGCCTGACTCTAACCTATTGCGACGCCTTTCCTCCGGCTAGCAATCAATGGACGAGCCTGCAAGTCCTCAAAGTGGACAAGCTCGACATGGAAGAGCTTCCAGACGCCGTTGGAATGTGGAGGGATCTGAGAACATTGCAACTGGGGGGGGCCTTGGGACAAAATCGCACTTGTTCTAAGCTGCAGAGCTTCCCTTCCTTCGAAGGTGTCTGGAACAAGCTCGAAGTTCTGAGCCTGAGCGGAGCACCCTCCTTTCACTCATTTCCACCAGCAGTAAAATCCTGGTCCAAGCTGCGCAAGCTGTATTTGAGATCATGCCCCAGTCTCGAAGCGCTCCCAACAGAAGTAGGGGCTTGGCACAGCTTGCAAAGTTTAAGTCTCGAAGATGTCGGCCTGCTTGCGCTTCCCCCTTCGGTGGGACTGTGGAAGTCATTGCAAGATTTGAATCTGAGCTGCTGCGTGAGACTCCCCGGGCTTCTTACGCAAGTTGAGGGCTGGGAGCGACTGCGTAAGATTGTGTTGTCCTCCTGCTCTAGCTTTCGCAGCCTTTCTGAGGGTGTCGGTGGATGGAGGGAGTTGCAGGATGTCTATATAAACAGCTGTGACGCCTTACAACTTACAAGGTCTTCCCAAGTGTTGGATTGAGCTCAAGAGCATCAACATCAGCCATTGCGGGCAGCTTAGGCACTTGTCCGAAGAGGTTCAACAATGGACCTCTTTGGAGACGGTTTGCTTGGGCAATAACAAACAAATCAAAGGCTTACTGAAGGAAGCTCCTAGTGACCCAGTGAGAGAAACAATGAGCTTGAACTCAAATGTAGAGGAAGTGGGCTTCTGGGGGGCATTAGTGCATCTTACACTTTCCTACACCGAGCTCGAATCCTTGCCAGAAGCAGTAGTTCACTGGGGCCTCCTCCAAACGATGACCATTTTTGGCTGCGCCTCATTTCGGGGTTTGCCTTCCGGTGTAGAAGGATGGAGGAATTTGAGAACCCTTTACATCGCTGATTGTATTTTGGTATCGACGCTGCCCAAAGAAGTAGGCGCATGGAAACAGCTCCAGAAAATCGAGCTGAAGAGTGACGAAAGCACCTTGGCTTGGACGACTCTTCCTGTGGAGGTCGGTGCTTGGGTGAACGTACAAGAGATTTCTATAGGGAGACTGGAAAGTGTCCCCGAAAGCACTCGAGGATGGTCCAACTTGATCTGCCTTAGTATCAAAGCTTTGAAGGCGGAGCAGCTTCCAGAGCAGGCGGTTCAAGCTTGGACAAACCTGACAAATCTGAACGTCTCCGGGCCAAACCTTCAAAGCCTACCAGCATCGGTAGGCTCCTGGACGCAGTTAGAGTCAATCGAGCTGTCGTGTCCGAAGTTGGAGTCACTCCCGGACAGTGTCGGCCAGTGGAGGAAAATCTGGCAAGTACCCTTCAGTGGATGTCGGTCCCTGAGGGCGTTGCCTGAGAGCGTAGGTCATTGGCAAGCTCTCTATTCTCTGGGACTTGGAAGAACGCATCAGGTCGAGGGCCTCGAGCCGTGCATCAGCCTGACCGCCCTTCCAGAGTCCGTGGGAGCATGGAAGCAGTTGAGAATACTGGACCTGAGCGGCTGCTAAAGCTTGACTCGCCTGCCTGCTGACACTGTACGAGAATGGTCCCAGATTGATGTACTTGAGTTGTCAGGCTGCATCAGTCTGACAGAGCTTCCCAGTTCCGTGATGACCTGGCCTCTTCAAAATCCAGACGTCACATTGCTGCTCAGTGGATGCAACGAAGCCGTCACTGCAGCGTTTGAGCAATACAAAACCCAGGAAAAAGTTGCATCTGGTGCAAGTGTAGACATTTGTGTTCAACCGTGACATAGTTTTTGAAGTAAAGCTCACGACTTATGTAGATGGAGCCACCAGCAGCTAGGACGAAGTAGCACGAGAGCTTGCGTTATTCGAATCTTTCCAAAAGTTGTACATTGCATTGAATTGAATACAGGACTGGCATGGCTTAATTGATCCTGGCATGAAGACCGGTCTGCACGATGCATTTGCTTTCATGGCTGTAATCAGAACGAAATTCTTCGAAGAGTCTCATGGAGTATCGATGCATAAGTTGATTACGCGGAACGTTCATGTAAGAAGTAATACGTACGACCGTCCAATACAAAGCTAGGAGAGTCACTGAAAGTTCAATAATGCAATGCTCCAATCTCCATGACGATGGCAGGCAGCTGCTTCGCACGCGTTTTAGTATTAAAAGCAACTTTGCAGCTTCATAGCTCAAGCGTGGATGGCGGCAGGCTTGCTTCTGAATTTGCGTGCGGAGCTACTTTCGCCCCTGATGCTGCTGCGTAAGGTTCTGCCGTACGATGGGCCCGTTCCGTTCGTTCCGCCGGCCGCGGGCTATCAAAGTCCGCGAGCCTTTTTTGGACGATAAACCTTGAAACCTTGTTTTAATGGCGCGGACGCGCGAGCGGCCGCGCGCAACCTGATAAGTTGGCCGCGGCCGACGTACGTACCCGACCGCACGCGCAATCTGAACAAGCTCTGAAGCCTGAAGTCTTGAGTGTCTGAGTTTATCTTATTCGCACTCCCTTCTATTTACGATTCTTTCCTCCCGATAGTCAGCTTTCATTTTATAAACGCTGTTGTTCCGCTTTGAAGCGCACTGTGCTTATGAAGCAGGTAGGGGTACGGTGTTGAAGCCCTGTTGTAAGAGGTTTCTGTTGCAAGGACTCTGGCGAGCAGTCCGGGAGCCTCGACATGGCTTGCCAGGAGGGAGCACCCTGCATCAACGACATCTTGCCAAGGGAGCTCCTGGTTCGAATAGCAAGTCTTCTCGACAAAGGACCTTACGCCACGACATCCTTGAAGATTTTCAGTGGAGTGTGCAAACAGTGGCGTTCGGTTGGGAGAGAAGGAGTCAGAAGCCTTGCCATTTGTTGGCCCAAACTCGGAGAGAAACCTACTTTTGAACAAGTGGGAAGGCGCTTCAATCTTTTTCCCTGCCTAGACAGCCTCCATCTGGTGCTGGATGATACTTCCAAGCAGGCTGTGGAGGTACACTGTGAGAAGATATTGAGCTTTGCAGATAAGACCTCCCTCCGGATCAAGCACCTAGAGATCAGCTTTTACTACGAAGACCATCTTCCTGGTCAGAAACCTAGAGTTGTAAAATTGCCAAAGCTGATCTTCAAGTGGGGGTGGCTGGAGAGCTTTGCTCTACGTGGTGACTTGGTTCTTGGAGAACTGTCAGAAGCTGGGACTGCAAAATGGACCTGCTTGAAGAATCTGACTCTCGCGCACTGTGACGACCTTCACTTTGCAAGCAAGCAATGGACCGGCCTGCAGCATCTTCAGATCAAAAATCTTGACCTAGATAGTTTGCCAGGCGTGATTGAAAGCTGGAAACACTTGAAGGTACTTGCTTTAGGGTCTCCCAACCTTTCCAGACACATTTGTGCCAATCTGCACCAGTTCCCTCCTACCGTAAGTGCTTGGAACAAGCTTGAAGTTCTTTGGTTGCATGGTGCAAGTAAGCTTGAGTCGCTGCCTCCAGAAGTGAACGCGTGGTCCCGATTGCGCGAGCTGCATTTGTCTTCGTGCTCCAGCCTGACAAAGCTCCCTTCGCAAGTCAGCGCTTGGCGCAGCCTGCAAACTTTGAAGCTAGAGATTTGCCCTTTGCTCTCCGGCCTCCCTGTAGAAGTAAAGGGCTGGAAGGGGCTTCGCAAATTGAGTATACGGCGCTGCTCTAGTTTTCAGGACCTTTCTGAGGGCGTCCAGGGGTGGACAGGACTGCAGGAAGTCTGGCTGGAAGAATGTGGCACCCTGGAAACGCTACCCGAGGACGTGCATGGCTGGAGAAATCTGAGAAAAATGTCTATAAGCTTTTGCGATAAGCTTGAGCGTTTGCCGAAGGGGGGGCGCCGTTGGGACGCCCTTGAGGATGTTTTATTGGACACATATCGGGGGTTCAAGAGCCTACTCTCGATTAAAGAAGCACCCGAGAAAACCATGGACTTTGTGAGCTCAACTTTGAAAAGCTTACTCCCAAAGACCGTGAAGGGACATTTCTGGGGCGCGCTTCTGAACATCACTCTCCGTGCCGTCGAGATTGAGTTCCTTCCAGAGTGCGTTGACCAATGGGGTTTGGTTCAGGAGATGACCATCTCTTACTGCAGCAAGTTGTGCGCCCTGCCTTCCGGAGTGAGAGGGTGGAAGCAATTGCAGACCCTCCATATCAGATCCTGCGAGCGCTTAGTGACGCTTCCTCGAGAGGTGTGTGAGTGGAAGCAGCTCCGTAGCTTCCAATTGACTCCTAGGACGCGCGACCCTGTACGGATAGATCTGCCGTTGGCGGTGGGAGCTTGGCAGAACCTAGAGGACGTGGAGTTTGAGTGGGTAGCGGAGGTGCCAGAAAGTGCACGGAACTGGTCGAAGCTGACCCGCTTTCATGTCAGGCATCTGCTGGCGCAGAGGCTTCCAGAAGTAGCAGTTGCATCTTGGAAGGATCTGAGATCTCTCGTCGTGCATGGGCCAGAGTTGGTAGCGCTGCCAGATACGGTTGGTGCCTGGGAGCAACTAGAGTATGTTCAGTTGCTGTGTTCTAAGTTGGAAAGGCTTCCTGACAGTGTAGGGAACTGGACCAGCGTAAAGCTCGTAGCTTTGGGGCCTTGCGTGTTGGCGGCCATACCTGCGGGCGTCTTTCCTCGGACGAACCATTTTTTTGGATTTTCATTTGAAGTTGGCGTCGACGATCAGGCGTGCCGCAGGCTGACTACCCTTCCGGAGTCTATTAGTTCCTGGAGCGAGGTCTTGACCATAGTTCTGAGAAGTTGTGACAACCTACATCACTTGCCCGGATGTGCAGAGAAGTGGCCTAAGCTCCAAGCGTTGGACCTGACAGGTTGCAGTGCTTTGCTAGATCTGCCTGAAACGATAAGAAACAAATCCAATAAGACAGCAGGGTGTAAACTTGTCGTTGATGGAAGCTGATTCGAACAAACCAGAGAAGTCAGTCGACTCTCATTGATAATGCTCGAGCAACCTTATTTGGTCTCATGAAAGTATCTCTCATCTCAGGTCGCCCTTCGAGGTTGGTGCATGAGCGTGGAAGATAACCACAGAAGGAGACCTCAACCACATCGTCAGCAGTTCGTTGAGCTATGCATGCCCTACGAGCACAGATTCTTAACACAGATTCCTTGAGATGACACTAGCTTCACTGAAGACAAGAACCCCTCATCTTGGTTTATCTATACTAGCTGCTTCGCTAGAATAAAGCACGCATAAATTAAAGAAATCGTCCGTCAAGAGTTCAGCTCCACCAATCGGTGCCACGCCGGCCCGTGCACACGATGCCCGTAGCCTAGCTAGCGGCACGCGCCTCCTAGTAGGAGGTGCGTGCCGCCGTTTCCATCTTGCTCTCCATACGCCGCATACCTTTATGGCGACCTGCCAGGCTGGGATCATTCGCAACTTGAAGAATGTCTCTACTATAGTAAATCTGTCTAGATTAACCGCGTATAGCTTCCGATATCAATGACTCAATATGCTGCCATGATGCACAAATGCAAGCTATACTAGGAAATACGCACACCGTCGATCGACTCCGCCGTGATATGTTGACCCTAGTGCATGAGCAGGCTTGCGTGCCCCTTGTTCCCGAGACGGCTAGCTTGAAATCAGGATCGAGAGTGCAAAGTGCGTGAGTCCATGTCAAGGACCGGACTATACAACGTTAGGGAGGCCGGACGATGAGTATCGCAACCAGTATACAATCAAAGCTCACTCAGAGCTCTCGACGGGCGCGGGGGTAGGCGAAACGGATCGTCTCTGGATCTAAATTCGAAAGCGAGATCGACTGTTGGTGAAGTGGCAAGGAAGATTTGGACTTCATATATGTTTAATGATACGTTCAATGATTGTCGAAAAGTGTGTTAGATGTCCAAGCTTAGGGCGCGGCCGCGCTGTGACGGTCAATTGTACCTCTTGTTGCGCCGCCCAGGGTCAGCGTTTCTACAGCGTAAGCTCTTGAGAAAGCTCTAAAGCTAATCTGTCTTACGAAGCAGAACCCTTGTATCCCCTCGACAAGGCTATGATACGACGGGAACGCAGCACGAGCCAAAGTCATCGTCCCTAACGCAATGTATCACAAGTCAATTACCCTTCCTTCTTTGAAGCCCTGTCTTGCCCCGCTTACTTGCGAAATCCTCGTTACCTGGTGCAAACATAGCCCCTCGGAACTTGGGTACAACCTCACGGTCAATCGCGCACAAGCCTTTACCAACCAATCGCCCCTATCATACACCAAGACTACGGTACAGGTCTCCAAACCTCGTCGTACTAAAATACACTCAAACGACAGCAATCTTCTCGAAGCTAGCCTCCACGTGTTCTTCCGTCTGAACCTCCACGTGGACTTCTGTTCGCGCCTCTGCAACCGCCAATGGGAACTCGAAAAGGTTCACAGACATTGGGGGAAGCCATACGAGGAGGTCGTTGCCGGCCAGAGGCACTCGGCTCTTCACAGGCACCACCTGAAGGGACCGAGAGAGAGGAGCCGCATTCAGAAGTTACCCAGGAAGAAGGCACATAGCGTTGCTTTTGGCACTAGGTATCAGGTGGCTAAAATGCTAGAAACAAGGAGTTAATGTTGGAACTGCGTTGAACAAGGAGGCTTCTCGACCTGTCGAGGACAGAATCACCGCTTGCCTGACGCAGGCGTTGCATTCTAACACAAGCTTGTCTCCAAACTGTCGCAAACCCCTTGAATCGCAACTTTCTCATCAGCCGATCTGACCCAGGTCTAGCCAGACGTGCTTCACATTGAAGTGTAAGAACGCATGCACACCGACTCAAGCAACCAGAATTGAACCAAGCTCGGTCACCAACGGCAGACAAACAATCTCCGTAACCTGACAAAACCAAAACTTCAACCCTTAATTTTCTACATCGCACCGACCCACCTTCTCCGGCTCGCTAAACGAGTTTTCGTCCCAGATGCTGCCACCTGTCAGCGTGGTAACGGTCACCTCCGGACCGAGCGCGTCTTCGGACAGTCCGCTCAGCTGAATCTGGACGTTCATCGGACCGCCGAAGTTGACGGCCTTCACGATGTACCGCTCCTGGTTGACGTCAACCCGCTTGGTTGCTGACGCAACCAGAGTGTTTGCAGTCGCGCCCTGGACGCCTTGCACCAGCGCGGGGATGAGCAGGCTGCCGCCGCTGCTGTTGAACATCGTCTGCGACAGAAGGGAAATCGTTTCGATACATGAGACTTCTGCCTTGCTTCCGTGCGTTCGATACGGTGTGCCGCCTTCTGGTCTTCTGGCGATTGTTCAGTTCTCCTGTTCACTTCTGATGCCCGTTCGGAGAACAACAGCAGGCTGCTGCCGCTGCCTCAAAATCTTATCAGCGGCATTGTTCAAGGCGGGAAAAAGGGGGTTTCGTCCGCTTTCGTCCATGTACCTTTGTTCCATTACGCGTAACCTTGGCTCCGTATAGATACAAAATCGCCTCGACGTTGCTATTGAAACCCTGTTTACCGAAGGTAAGGTGAACCCTATACGTGCAGACGATCCGGTGGACCTGTGGTGATTCGACTGCTCAACGGATTGGGTTAAGCTGACCCGCCTGCAATCCAATACCTGAGCTCCCATACTTGTGCCCCAGCTTGAACCCGGTCTTGGTTGACATAACAACGTGGACTAGCTGGTGACCCCATTTGCTCGTCCAAGTTCTCAAAAGTTCTTCAAATCGGGTTACGCTGAGCCACCTGCACCCAATACCCGGGCGTCCGTAGCTCTGCCGCAAACACGAGAACTGTTCTGATCATTCCATAGATGTTGATCTCCACTGAGCTAGTCTAAATCTTGCTTACGACTTGTAGAAAAAATAAAACGAGGTTTGTCTGACCCACCTGCACCCAGTAGCTGGGCGTCCCGTAGCTCTGCCACGAGTTGAACACAATCGCGTCGGGGTTCCACGTCCGGTCGTGCGTGTTCACGAACAGCGGCGCGTAGCTCGCCATCTCGATGACGTCACTGCAAGGGGCAGCTGACGTCAGCAACCGACGATCTTCTCCGAAGAATTGGATTCAGGAGGAGAATGTTTCCTACGGACACCACAGATCCTAAAATGGTCACCGACAGGGAAGTTTAGCTCGCCATCTTGATGACGATACTAGAGGGGACGACTGCCATGATAACCGTAAAAAGAGCCAATCTGCTTGATCGTGTCACAGAGAGAGCATCTTCAGGTCACATCAAAAAGCTTGGATACTTCTTCCGAGCACTTTCAGAGCCAAGCCTGCTTTGGAACGCAGGCGCTGGACGAGCTTCTGGAACTGATAGCCACTACTTTTTACCAAGAGTCTTCAATAGTGGTAAGGATTAGAGGGAACACCTGTTCCTTTCAAGCCCGACCGTAAACCGGAGGCCTAGAATGACCTCTTTCAGAAGGGTATGCGGGTTAGCTATTACCAGGAACTCTGGTTAGGTGATGGGTTACCTATTCCTCTCGAGCCCCACCATGAGAGCCCGACGCCTAGGGCAATCCGTTTTCGAGAGTTACTTAGGTGTGGGTTTCCTGTTTGTGGAAAGCATTCAGGTATTGGGTTACCTATTTACGGAAAGCACGTGGTGTAGGTTACCTGTCTCCAGAAAAGTGGTTAGGTGCGGGGTTACCTGTTCCTCTCGAGCCCAGCCATGAACTCGACGCCTAGGGTGAAGTTACTTTAGTGTGGAGTACTGTCTCCGAAAAGCAGTTAGAAGTGGGTTACCTGTCTGTGAAAAGGAGTTAGGTGCGGGGTTACCTGTTCCTCTCGAGTCCAACCATGAAGCCCGCCTCGGAAACCGCAGCAAGCAGGCTCCCAGTGCCGGCGTCCTGGCCTACCACAGCGTATTCGCTGGCGAATACCTGCAGGATATACCGTACTGGTATTTCAATTTGTTACCTTCGACGCCAAAGAATCAATTATGACACGTTTGAAACTTTGGCAGGATAAGAACTACCTGCTAAAAAGTACCGTTATCGACCAATCAACGCCTCTTGCAGGGCAGATATATTATTTATTTTTGGCCGAAATCACGGTAAACACAGAAAAGAGCTCTGCAGTCTGATCCAACAGGGCCTCCCATAGCATCCGTTATGCCAAACTTCAGGAGGCAAAGCAACGCTTTCAGGTCGCGGCAAAGAAACGCTTCTTCCATGGAATCTTTGAAAGCACCCGAGACGACTGACGAACAATGTCCAAAACCTCTCATGGCCGCTACGAACCGTTCGACATCGGTTGGCTGATTGCTTGAGAGAAGCAGTTTGTTGTCACGAATTTAAGCAACCCAGCCGTTTCTAGGACGAAGAATCTGGAAAGATGCATCGGGAGCTTCAAAGGGCTGCGGCTAAACACCGGGTGCAAGCTCACGAGCATTTAGTTCCGGCAACTACAAAACTAGAGACGGGTGAAATGACCAGGAAATTGACTGAAGGAGTTTGCGGAATGAGGGAGGAGGCTTGCTACATACCTTAGGCCCGCTCCGGTCATACCCGTCGAACTTGTTGGACAGTGCGAAGAGAGCGGCGGCGGAGGTGTAAATCTGCAAAGAGGAAAACACGAAGGAAACCCACGTTATGCCACAGCGCGCAGTAACTTGATGAGGGTCAAACGAAAATTCGTCGTCACGGGTCTGAGTACTCAATAAGGGTTTTGAGATTAAAGGGGAGCCGATCGAACGCTTCTCCGAACACAGCGCACCACCAATGCGGTTGCATGCGTGGCATACATAGCCTGAAGTCGGTGTTCTCAAAAAGGGAATTGTTGACTCGTGGCCAATTTGCCTGTCCTTGTTAGCCTTGCCTCCGATTCCTTCTGGCAAATCCAAACGCTCAGAGAGCGAGTGAGGGCCGTGCAGATCTGTGAAAATAATCATGTCCGGGAAGGTAGTTTGAGCTGTACTGAAGCTGTTTTTGGACTCTGAAACTTTCAACACCCCAAGGAAAGCGAGTCTGAAGCCAATCGTCTCGCACAGGAATGTTCAGGCTCTAGGAAAAGGCTTACGTGGTAATCAAAAAGGTCGGCGGGGTTGACGAGCGGCATGTTAGTTGCGTCGCAATTGGAGATGAGCTTCATGAACGGGTAGCGCGCCTTGATTGCCTGGTAGAACCGCAGGTAGTTGCCTGCGCGGCAAAAAGCTAAACGTGTCAGCCTTGACCACGAGAAACCAATCTCTTGAGTGCCTGGTCGAAGCTTTTAAATCTTAAATCGCATCACTCTGCTTTCTACAGACAGTTCAATGAAGCTTCGAGTCTTGTCTCTCAGAGGGGAAGCGGAGACCCAAAAAGCCATTGATGAGTGCTCGTCTTTCCAAGGTTGACCATTGTAAGTTTTGATCGCATGTCCTCTACATTCGCTCACCACTTGCGTCATACTGAGCAGTCATTCTGGAAATTACACTCACCACAAACGCGAAACCAACAAATCTTGATAATCTAGAAGGAAACCCACCTTCGTAGTGGCGCTTCCCGCAGTCCTCGTTCCCAATGGCCATGTACTCCAGATCGAAAGGCTCCGGGTGGCCCATCTCCGCGCGCAGCGAGCCCCACTCGCTGTCGGCCGGGCCGCGCGCAAACTCGATGCCGTCCAAAACGTCCTGCAGAAACGCGACCGCAAAGAAGTTTAGGATCTGGAAATCCACGTTTATTTTGGGCCCCCAGGTGCTGAGCTCAACCTTCTTTTGTTGTGGCGATCGCATACCGCGGCCTGACTGGCAGCTGACAAAGTGCATGTTGAAACGGTCAGAACTGGGTTCGGTTCATCTTCGAAACGCGTTTCTGATCATCTCTAAAAGTCGTGTAAAGCTTGGAGAACCTGGAGAGCAAAGAGTCACTTTTTGCAAGGGTGCGGTCCAACTAATACGAGCTGTAGAAACATGCGTCTCCTGTGGCAAACGCAAGAGGTCTAAAACCCCCCCAAAACGAGCTCCTAAGAGCCGTACGCCTCGCTGCTTTGACACCACGTTTCTTCCGCCCTCACCTTGATGAACGGCCCGATCGTCTTGGTGTCAAGCTCCGAGGTGTGGCTCAGGCCGTTGTTGAACACCCACACTGGCGCAGCGTCGATATCCTCCGCGAGTTGCAAGTATTCGAAGAGACCCAAACCGTCGTCGGACCAGTAACCCCAGACGTCGTTAAGGTGACCGGGGCGGTTCTCCCACCGACCGACGGACTGGCGCCAGCGGAACGCGTTGAGGAGACGGACGCCTTCGACGTAACAGCCACCTGCGGAAGAAACGGTCTTTAAGATCAATTCGAAGTATGGTAGATGATCGGAAGACATTGAGATCCAACTGAAAAAAGTTTCGGTAATCCCTTCTGGACGTTGGCAAGTAAAGGGGCGGTTCTCAAACTGGACGGACTGGTGTAAGCGGAAGGCGTTCAGGAGACGAACACCTTCGACCTAACAGCCGCCTGCAACGGAAATGAATAAGCCGTCAGAGCGTCGACAAACTTTTAAGAGCGTCGACAAACTTTTAAGGAATCGAAGGATCTGTGGAACAGCGATGGCAAACCCTTCCGGACGTAGCAAAGTGAAAGGAGCTTTTTCCCGACTAAGCAACGGACTGGCGCCAGCGGGAGGCGTCGAAGAGACGAACGCCTTCAACGTAACAGCCGCCTGCAATGGAACTGAATGAACCGTCAGAACGTCGACACTTGATGAGGAATTGAAGGGTATGTGAAATAGCGTTGGCAAATCCTTCGGGACGTAGCAAAGTGATCGGAGCGTTGTCTCGATTTACTAACGGACTGGCGCCAGCGGAAGGGGTTGAGAAGGCGAACACCTTCGACGTAACAGCCGCCTGCAGAGAAAGCAATTGTGACATTATATCCGATATCTGATGTCGGCAGATGTTTGGAAAGATATTATGATCCAAAGGAAACGAGTTTTGGACATCCCCTCCAGATGTCGACCAATATTCGTGGCGCTTTTTCAAATAACTGACAGACGAGAACCAGCGGAACGCGTAGGAAAGGCGGACAGCTTCAACGCAAAAGGAAATGTTCCCAAATCTTGACAACACTAGCTGGTTTAAACTTACCGAGACTCAGCCATGTTAAAGTCTCCCAAAAGTCCCGTTCAGAGGTTTCGAACAGACGCTCACCAGGAAAGCGGATGAAGCCGGGCTTCATTGACAGCAGCTTCTCGGCGAGGTCGACGCGCATCCCGTGGCCCTGCATGGGCGTCCACAACTCCGATGAATCATCAATTTTCAAACGGTCAGAAGCAATCTCGGGATGGAGACTTTCCAAGGTTCGGAGCCACCTCACAAAGACAGACGAAACTAAGACAGACGGGCAGCGCTGAAAGCGCTGAAAAGTGCCCGCACCTGTCCGAGCGGGTCGTGTTTGAGCAGGGTAATGTGCCATGGCGCGTGTGCTGTGTTATGCAAGGACGTTAGGCAACGAAGTTGCAAAACGGTGGGCTGACGGTTTGAAGCGTCCTGAAAGGGCTTCGAACGACGAGCTGCCAAGTCTGGACTGATACGGGTTATTGAAGGGAGAAAATCAGGTTTCCCAGCGGGTCGGTGGCGTGTCGTGCGCAGGTCGGCGAGCGAACTCTAGCTGCAGTAAGCTTATTGCGAACACAAGAAGCAGGAGAGGGTGAGGAATGACGCAATCTGAACTTGCCTTGAACGTCTTCACTGGCTTGGCCGAGATCTGGTCGAACCAGATGGTGCTCGGCTGCCGCGTCGTGATCGCGAGCTGGCCCTTGTGGTCCGTCGAGGACGCCCGGATGGTCACGTGCCGCTGCTGCCACGTGGCAGCATTCTCCGCGAACTCGCTGCAAATCTCGTCAAAGTGTGTGTCAGAATGAGACCCTTATTCTGCGCAAATAGTAGTCCGTGAGGGATGATGAGGGCTCTGCTCTCCTGATGCGTGTCGTTTGGATTCACATGGGCACGCAGTATTAACGCGCTTTTGTTAGGTAATCTGCACATGTTTCTCAATCAGCCAGTAAGCTTGTTGCTGAAAGGCCTTGCGGTAAGTCGACTCTTTGCCTGATACAGGAGGTGGCAATTTTGCCATTCAAGCGAGAAAGGGCGGGTAGAGAGCTCGATTTGAAAGGCAATCAGACCGTACGAGAAGAACAACAAACGCTCGAAAGGACCCACGAGCCTTTCGGACAATGGTCAAATTTGCACGAAGAGGATATGTCTACGACGCTTCTCAGAAGATGCGACCATTTCCGAGCAGCCCGCAATTGGCAAAAAAGCCCTTGTTCTGAGAGGAGTCAAAAGCGAGGAGCCACAAGTTCGTAAACGGCGTGATTGGAACGGCTTAGAGACGTGCTCACACAATGTGGCCCTCTCCGAGCACCCACTGCCCGTTTTGCGACAGGAACGCGACCGTCAGGTTGAGGGATCCCTCCGACTTGAGCCACATGGTGACGTTGTACTCCTCGCCAGCCTCAATGTTCTGCAAAGGTCACGGATTGCTTCAGGCAACCGCGCGCTCGATGTGCGATGCTCGTGCTCGATGTTCCTCTTGGATGAGATTCTCAAGTATTGCTCGGGTCTACGTTGTTCCTACGATAGAACCAGAGTACTCAGGAATGCATCCTCAGAAGCCAAGAACCAGCGCTCCATCTTGCACAAGAAGTCAAAACATGCTTGGACAGGTCGAATCAGAAGTTGAAAACACATCGCAGCCTCAGAATCCGACAATCCCTGACTCGTTGAGACACGCTGTAGACCGGGAATCATTCAACAAATCTACAGGAACTCTCCTCACCAAAAAGAAAGCCATATCGAGTAGCAGTGGTCAAATTTAGGAATCCTAAACCTGATATGTAATCCTGAACAGCCTATCTCAAGCACTTCTTCCAAGCATCACCGATGAAAGGTTGCTGAACTGCTAAATCCAACTGCATACTGACAAGGCTCCTATTGTTCTGGTGTGAATGCTGAGAAGATTTGATTGCTAACCATGCCCCCATAACCGGAATCAGAAACCCCGAGCGCTTGCTCTACTGCCGTTTTCACCAATTACCCCAATCAGGCATACTGCAAATGAACCGCTGCAACCGGTCACAATCTTTCCAAAAACGTTAGCGGTACCCCTGACCATCATTAGCAAACCCGAGCCCCTTCTGTGACTGCCGGTCTGCAAAGGCAGCCTCCCGAGCACTTTCTCTATTCATCTCGAAACCAGACCAAGGTGCAGACCAACAATCAAGGTCAACGCACTAACCATCCCCCAGTAACCCGGGTTAGAGAACCCCAATGCCTGCTTCAGCTGCCCGTTCTCGTCTCCCGCGCCCCGCGCCTCAAACTTGAGCGCAATCGGGTTCCCTTCGAAAACGGACGCCTTTTGGGTTTCCAGCCACAGGTCCGGTTCGGACCCAATCGGACGCCAGGGCTCGATCGAGGACGGAGTGTACTGCCCACCGGCCTCGAAACCTGTGCTTGAGGGCAGGTTAGTCCGTGACTAACTTCGAAATTGGTTAAGAATTATACCAGTCAAGGCAGCCACCCGCGATCGGGATTGAAGGCTCAATTGAGGACGGGGTGTCCTGCCCACCGGCCCCGAAACCTGTGGTTTGGGCCGAGTTAGTGCATGATCGAACTTGGTTACAATCTATGAAAGTGAGGGCAGCCACCCGCGATCCGGATTGAGGGCTCATGGGGTGTACTGCCCACTGGCCCCGAAACCTGTGGGTTAGGCCGGGTTAGCCCGTAAGTTGAGGCGGATCCTCAGGCTAGCTTAAACCGTGTCAAGAAGCCCAAGCAATCAGGATTAAAGGCTGGATGGAGACTGTCTTGAACAGCTCATATGCTTCAAACCTAGGCTTTGCAATATGGGTCAAGCCAGAATCGTTGGTGTCCATCGGAGTGGCTCAATGGCAAATACAGGGCACTGCAAATTGTCCTTAGGATCTGACATAATCCAAGAGCTCATTGAAGGCCTGGGCTCAATTGAGGACGGCGTAACACCCTGCCGGCCAGGTGAAAGTGAGAGAAGTTGCTGAAGTCACGAGCGCCTCTCTGAAACAGAAGTGGACGGCACCGAGATGACCAAGACCCATTGCAGGCTGAAAGTCACAGCAGCCAGAGTCTGACTCCAACTAGATTGAGGCCAAAAAAACACGTTGCGAGCGCCCACCTCTGTTGCTGACTAGCTCTGGGTCCAGGCCACCAACTCCAGCATGGTTGATCTCCTGCATAACCGGGACAAAGAAGTTTCATATGGAAAGTTTCATTTGTTCTTCCCCTTCTTTTTGGAGCACAGTGGGAAGGTGATGACCTCTAAACTTACATACTTACGAGATGTAGCGAGCCATAAGCTTGGAGTTTTAACACCGTCCAATGAGCAGCTTTATGTAATATGCGGGCTCCGTGGGAGTCCGCTAGGCTCTGAGGCAGCGAAAGGTGACGACAAAAGAGACTCCAAGATGAAACCCAGATTGTGAAGATTGAAAAGGTGGGGAGGGGCGGGCACAAGGATAGGACTTCTTTCGCAAGTCTTCTGACCTTCCCCATGGCTATCACTGCACCACCGCGTCATCAGAGCACCCCACCCTAGTTGGAATGTGATTGAAACAGCTCAAAACTAAGAGCCTCGCATCGAGGAGAATAAAATGTAAAATTGCCTTCTACAGAGTAGGTTTTAGCAATGTGAGAGGAGCTTGTAAGAAGTCCAGAAGGAGGCAGATGCACTTTTAAGCAGTGGCTGCTGTCTACAAGCGAGCGTCACTCAGCCATCAACTCCAAATAAGGGTACAGAGTGATAACGCCTTGTGAGGAGTCAGACGCACAGACCGTAACGAAGTGGGACGCCTTGTTTCGATCCTTGATATGACATGATGCAGCAACCTCAACGGTGGACCAAGTTGTGGCGCCCACATGACCAAGAATCTTCCTTTTGCATCTACTTTGCTATGGGGCCATTCCCAAGCTTGAGCAACCAAAAGACAGTACTTTGAACATGCAGTCTCGACAACTGGCAGCTGGTACAGCGACTGAAGGTTTCTGAGCTGGCATTTTCACACTGAAAGCCAACACAATGTGAATGGTGCTAGGACCACAGGTAGAAACACAAGTACATTAACCAGCGGTCAATCACCTGCCTACGATGACGCTTGAAAAGTTCTGCCCATGTTGCATCAATTCTGAACCCTTTTTGAAGACCAAAAATAGGGTTGCACTGAGGTTGCAGTCAGTCACTTCAGAGTCCTCAGGACACTGCGCTGAATTGTCATTCACGCGCCCCGGCTTGTTCCATTCGCGATCAGCGCAAGCCATGTCTGCATCATGGTCCCTACCTTCTGTGGTATACTGGTTCCAGCTGGCGCTTGAAAAATGTGGTAGAAACTTGAAAGTACATCCAGCTATTGCTACTATTCAGACGAGGAAACCTGGGATTTTTCCCCTGGTGGCATATATGTACTTTAACAGATAAGCGAGAAAACAGGAAGCGAAAAGCACTTAGGCTCTTGGAAAAAGCACAAAACTTTGCCAGCACCGTATTACAAGGTCACAAAGTGGCACCAAGCGAGGGCTTATCAAGAATGTTTCATGCAAAGCAAAAAGAGTGGGCGACAATCCTATCAGTGCAGCTACTACGGGCTTCAGTAAGAACAACTAGGTGAATAAAACTGGCAGTCACCTAGAAGAAGCTGTATCAAGTACACCGCAACTGACTGTGAACTTTCTACCCACACTTGTCTACATCGACAAGCTTCCTGAATCAGTTCTCACAGAAGTTTTCAGGCACCAACACCATTCTCTTTCTTTAATCAAAGTCATCAAAGGTGGACAATTTCAAGCGCGCGTATCCATGTTGTATTCTCTGCACCTCAGGTGTATTCCAAATTGTCACGTTACTGCCTTCAGGCCCAAGGTGCAGCCAGACTACAGATGTCCATAACTGAGGGAAGCAAGTGAAAGCAACCAATCTGTTTCTGTGACTCAGGGTAAAAGTCAGAGACTGGAATTAGCGCCTTGACGAGACAAAGCTCTGTTTCAGCTTACCTCGAAGAAAACCCCAAACAGCGTCTTGGGCACATTCACGCCCGTCTGAAATGTGTCAACCACCACCGTTGCATCAAGCGCATTGCCCCGCGACAACCCATTTCCCCTTATGACCTCATCGCTGATGTCAGTGCGGTCCGGTATGTCAGAGCTCAAAGGCTTTGCGGCAGTGAGAAGGAAGCCGCAGGCGAGAAAGGAGAGGACTGCTAGGTGAGGCTTGGAAGGATGCATTTGTGCTGTAAAATGGACACCCCAGTTACGAGTCAAGTTGACTGAGCAGCTTAAGGGAGCGGCAGGGACAGCACTTCTGTTGAAAAACTATGTAGGGCACACCGCAAGCGGAAAGAGAAAGAGCTTCACCAGGAAACCAATTACCGACACCCTTTTTAAGATACTCAGTGCCCTGCTTTAAGTCTACTTTGCTGCGTCCTTTTCGAGGACTCTGTCCCGTGGTTTCTGCACCAATTGCGGTGAGGTCGCTGTCACCTCCTTGTCACCAGTGCTGTCTTCAGGCCTTGGTTGTCTGAGGTCTCCTTGAAGTTGAAGCTCAAGCGCTGCAAGCAGCAATGTTTGCGCCCCTGTTGCCAGAGCAGAGGTCGACTTTCGCGAGCTGTACCAAGCAAGAGGTAGTGCGCATTCACAGCACGGCGGACAGTTAGAAGCAACCTTTGGTGTCGTTCTACCCAGCCGGTTCGAGTCCATTGTGCGGGTTCCATTGAAGTCTATGTTATACTTGGAAAGTTCCTGGCTTGCTTGACACTAGTGCAATGTTTCGTCAGTGGAGAAGTATCAGCGCCGGCTGCCACCGCAAGTTTCGGAAATGCAGACTCAGCATTCACCTAATGCAATCCATCTCCGCCGTCCACTTTCCTACATGACCTTTTAAACCGTTGATACTAAGACGGTTAGGAAGACCGCAATGATTAAGACGGATGCCGTGCGATCATCGTCTCCACCGTCCGATGCACTTTCCTAGTTGGCCAGCTGGCGTGCCATGCGTCAGCCAGTTGGCAAGCCTCCGCTCGCGTACTTGTCACGTACGCATGTTTCATAGGCTATACTTGACACTACTTCAACCCTTCGCCTGCAGTCCGATCTAGAGCTGAGGACAGTGTCCAAATCGTACATGTTGCACCAGCTGGTTAATCTCGATCAGCGTTCTTGATCAGCTCTTCGTAAGTAGATTCCAATTTTAGCGAAGCAGGAGATCTTCCATCGAAGTTCATGTCCACAGCAGCTGGACTTCCAGCCACTCAAGCAACCAAGTGTACCGTAATAAGCGAGGAACGCATTGCTTCTCCTTGATCGCCCTGCTGTTTTTTCGTCGCTCCTGCTCGCACTTTTGATCAGCTTGAGAGAGCGCTTTTCGGCGCTGTGCATATTGCTCTGTCACATTCCTCCACGATGACGCCAGCCATTGCTGCCGATGAGGCTGGAGCAAAGCCGCAGGAGGTTGAGGCGGTGGTTTCCAATATCAAGAACCATGCTGAATTCACCCCATACTCTGCACCACTGAAATTTGAGCCCAAGGCTGCATACACGGCCACTGCTGAGAGCGTGCGGGACTCCCTAATCAGGCAATGGAACTTGACGCATCAGGAGTTGGCGCGCAAGGATCCCAAGCAGGCCTACTACATCAGCATGGAGTTCCTGCAGGTGAACATTGATCCAGAGGAGTTCGTTGCATGCATAGCTTCTTGGAAGTAGCCCTTTCAGATCTGGATTTTTTAGAATCCGCTTGCACCAATTGCTTTTTGTTGACTTCTGCATCCTGGACATCAGAAGTTGCTGATGCTGAAAATGAGCATTTGAGGCGCTTGCAAGCTCAGCTTCTTTTTGACGCCTCCACTTTTGCAGTATCAAAGGGGAGGGTTTCCAGTAGTCTGCGCTCATTGCCCTTCTGCGAAATATGTTTCCCAGCACTCTTTTCCAGAAGAAGAATCCTTGGCTTACGGTGGCGCATGTTGATCTGATAAAGCACCACTGCAGCTCTCTGTCCAGTTGAACCATCCATAACTTCGTCTCTCCTTTTCCAGGGTCGCGCTTTGCTCAATGCACTTGGAAACTTGGACATCACTAACGCATATGCGCAAGCGCTGAAGCAGCTTGGTTATGATCTGGAGACCATTGCTGATCAGGTGAGCATACCAAACAAACACCTCTCATTGGTCCACAAGAGCACCCTTAATATTGGGAGCACAGCGAATGTGCTGGATATCACTCTGCTTGGTTTGTTATCATATGCTGGATGCAGTCCTGTATCCTGACTGCTATTTGGATCTGATTTAGGGCATTCTCAGAATGTACACAAGGGCGCCGGTCAACTTGTCTGGCACCTTTTAATAACTCCTACAATGGAAGCAGACTCTGAATCTGCACACTATAGATCCTGGTAGATTTGTCGTTGACCTTCCAACCTGTGCATATCTTACTCTGCTTATTCTCCAGCTCACGTGCTTTCTAGGCTGTGACAGGCTGCAGTGACCTTGTTTCCTTGTTCTTGGTTTATATCCAGCTGAAGATCTCACTTGAAGAAGGATGAAACAAGTCATCCATAGTACAGGTTTGAGGTCGCTTGGGCCTTTGTAGCGTGTCAAACGCACCACTATTTTGAGGACAAAGCTGTGAACAGAAGGAAAGGGGCACCTTTATCCGTACTTTGTGGTCAAACTCCAATTATTTTTTCTTGATGTCAGCGATTCTGTCACCTTTCTCTCACAGGAACCGGATGCTGCTCTTGGCAATGGAGGTTTGGGACGCCTGGCTTCCTGCTTCTTGGACTCGCTTGCCACCCTCAATCTGCCAGCAGGGGGATACGGGCTCAGGTGCAGTCATGTGTCCCCAAGTGGTTGAACCTTTAGATCATGACGATTCTTCATCGGAGGTCCCAGAAGGCAGCTGAGTTTTGACCGATAGAAAGTTCTCGCAGCTCCTCTTTGATCAGTGGGTCGACACTGATATTGCTGAAAACGGCAGCTGTGTGTAGGCTTTTAACAGCCGCCCTCCTTGGTGGCAATCGGCGCTCTTGCATGCAGTGTTTAAGATCTGCATTGTTTCCTGTTGATTAGAGGCATGACCACCACCAAGGATGGCTTTCCTTAGCTTTCAGTGGAACTCTGTCATTTGCCTGTCTTCGTAAGCATAGCCGTATTGCTGCCTTGAGCTATAACCCCTTCACTGTGCATCCAGGTACAAGCACGGCCTCTTCCGGCAGAGCATTGACAAGGCAGGGCAGCATGAGGAGCCTGAGAATTGGCTGGAGGTGAGATTGACCATAATTCATGTTCCGCGCCACTGGCTGGAGGTGTTTCTAGCTCTAAAATAGATGAAGTGGCTAACTGCACCTGTGTCAGTGCACCATTTGCACCAGGCGTGCCTGCTACTCACTCCGTACGGTCATCTCAATGTCCACTTTTTTCCATGCTTTCATTAGCATTAAAGGATTCATAGGCAAAATGTCCACAGCTTTTGCATAGGATGACCTGAACTTTATGTCTCTTCAAATGGGAGCCTGTTCCCACAGTCAGGGATTTTCCCCAAAGCTGCTAGATACCAAAACACAGCCGATGGCTATGTAAGAACTGATTTTCGAAAGCCTCCCATAGAGCAGCACCGCTACAGAGTTGAATGCAAGGGCAAGTGCAGAGTCCGAAGTCTCTGCTCGCAGATGGGCCACCCCTGGGAGGTGCAACGGCACGGCATTGTGTACCCTATCCAATTCTTTGGTGAGGTTCAAGTAGGAGAGAATGGCAAGCGGCGCTGGGTTGGGGGGGAGAAGGTTCTCGCTCAGGCATACGACGTTCCTATCCCGGGTTACAAGACAAAGAACACGATCAGCCTGCGGCTTTGGAGCGCTGCGGTGCCTGCGGAGTACTTCCAGCTGGAGAAGTTCAACAACGGGGAGTACGAGGAGGCGACCAAGGCGTGGGCCACCGCAGAGCAGGTAGGTTGCAAGGACTGGTTTGATGCGAAGATGGTTAGGGATCTGGCCTTTTGAAGTAAGGTTTGTATGGAACAGGGTTGAAACAGAGACGACTCATCATGTGCTTAAAGCATTTGTGTCGCAATGTGGCAGTGACCTGGGCCGACAGGTTCGTCAGAAACCAGCACTTGAGCAGTGTAAAAACAAAACGGCTGCAAATACTTCGTCAGGCAATGCTATGATACAAGGGGTGGACGACCAAAACGCGCTTGTCACATGTGCACCCAGGGAAGAATTGGCGTCACATGATTGGTCACGTGAATACCAAAAGAGAGCAGAGCGGGAGTATAGACCAGCCGCCACTTTCCTTACCTGCAGATCTGCGCCGTGTTGTATCCTGGGGACGGGACCGAGGCTGGGAAGCTCCTGCGGCTGAAGCAGCAGTACATGCTGTGCAGCGCGTCAGTCCAGGTAAGAAGCACTCCCCTGAGCTTTACGAACTGCCCGACTCATGCCAGCTTTCACCTCCTTGTTGCTATTGAACTTCAGCGGAAACTGAGGGCAGTGGAGGCACGTGTGTATGGGGGTGCAATATCGAAAGACAGGAAGGCGGAAACAAAGTTTTTGAAGCACGAGGCAGATCCGAGAACGGAAACACTCGCCAAATTGTCTTGGTGTGCAAGCAATGTCAGCTTCTGAGGCGCTCGTAATACCTTCGCTCGCACCTTCCTGACACAGAAGGTCGCAATGTCGTACTCGCTCGTATCTGACAAGACAGTCTCAGGAAGCGTCCAGGGGCGGTGTTGAGTCCGTCCTTTTGTTGCTCTTACTTGTTCGACACTGATCGGTGAAAGCACCTCCCAAAACCCCTCTCCCCCCCCGTTTTTCTCAGGACATTGTGGAGACGTTCCTGGACCGCCGCCCGGAGGGATCCCCCGTGAACTGGTCGGAGTTCCCCGAGAAGGTGGCCATCCAGATGAACGACACGCACCCCACGCTCGCTGCGCCCGAGCTGATGCGCCTCCTGCTCGACCGCGAAGGCCTCGGCTGGGACGAGGCCTGGGGCATCGTCACCAAGTGAGCGTTTTCTTTGGAACCTTTTTCTTGTTCTTTTGCTTTCTTAAGGCAGCCTTCCATCTAGTTGGGATGAGGCCTGGGGCAACGTCACCAAGTAAGCGTCGTTTGCAAGCCTTCTCGCGGTGTTTTGTTTTCTTATTGTGAGGTTGTTGTTAGGTTGGCACAGGGCTTGAGCCGTTCGTCACGAAGTAGGCGTTTTTTCTGCAAGCGTCACTTGTTCTGCTTTCTTCCCTACGTGCTAGTTTTACATTCCGCTGGACTAGGCCTGGGCTGTCGCTACTGGAAGAATCTTCGAAGAAGTACAAGCTTGGTGATTCATCTCAGACTAGGTGATGCGCTCAGTAGCTTGTCAGGTCGACTTAGGGACGTACTACCTCGCTTGTAAGGTCAGCCAACAGCCCTTAGAAATCCGGCCTCTCTTTCGACAAGGCATTTGTACTTGAAGATTCTCCAGCATATCAATCTTGCGTAGATGCAAACCAATTCTCATACTGTGATCCTCAAGGCACGCCATCGCAGCTCTTTGAGATGCTGACGCTTGGCGCCCCTTTCCATCAGGACCGTCAACTACACCAATCACACGGTGCTCCCCGAGGCTCTGGAGAAGTGGCCGTTGGCCGTATTCTCCAAGCTCCTGCCCAGGCACCTCGAGATCATTGCAGAGATCGACAAGCGGGTGAGACGCGCGACATTTCTCCTGTGACTGCCATTCAGAAGTAGCTGTCTGCACCGTTTGCTAGACGCTGTTTGTTCCGCTTGGTATGATTGGGTTCAGGGAGTAGGCATGGAATGGTCGGTGCGTCGTTCCCTGTATCAAGTTGAGTGGTCAGGGCGAGCGGTGAGTTGGTATTTTAACGATAATTGGTTTAGTTTGCGTTCAGCCGTTCCTACATGATAGTCCCTTTCTCTCATGATCCAACGCCAAACTTCGTTAGCAAATCCACGCCCTTGAGTCTGAAAGTCCAACCCAGCAAGCAGGACTCGGCCGAAAGACTAAGACCTCAACTTTGTGCCCAAACCCTTAAGGTTTCACGACGTTGAAGCCCTGGTTCGAGTGCCTTCTTTATTTTCTCTTTTACTCTTACCCAACTTCTAACCCTTTTTTGAACACATGTTTCACCACCATTTTGCACCTCCATCCACGCAGTTCATCGCCAGCCTGCGCGAGCAGCACAAGTCCGCCTCCAAGGAGGAGCTGGCCGACCTGATCAGCCGGCTGCGTATCCTGGGTGGAGTCCTCTCTGATGACGAGAAGGAGCTGGGGGCCACACAGAACGGGGGGGAGCCGCCCAAGCAGGTAAAGCGTCATTTTCTGAGGATTACAGAAATGGTGCGCTGCTTTCAGACGGGCAAGTTGGAGAGACACTGTCTGACTTGGGGACCTTGGTTTGCGGATGCGGTTCTCAACGGCGCATTTCAATTTATTAGCAGGAGACGAGATCTGACACATGTGTTACGCGCTTGTGCGGCCGCAGACTGGATGAAATGACTTCGTGTGGTCCGGTCTGAAAAGAAGACTCTTCGGAACGACAACATCCGTATTTAGGCGCATGCTTACGCACAGGGTTACATTCGCTGGGTACGAATATATGATCGGATCAATTGCTGGCAATCATGTCAGAGACTTGCAGGGTCAGCAACTTTTATATGGCGTAGGGTTCCATTCAAGAGATGGACGCATTCCTCAAGTTGTGCGAATGGCCAACGTGTGCGGCCCCGGTCATGAACGCTGAAGCTTCATGTGGCACAAAATCGGAGAATCTGCAGGCAATGTCGACAACGTTACAATAGTTCAGGGCTTGCATACGCACTACGACGCAACGACTGACGTCATCATTGTCATCCGCAGGTGGTGCGCATGGCTAACCTGTGCGTCATCGCGGCCCAGGTCGTGAAAGTGGAGGCTTGATCTCGCACGCTAGTGAATATTGCAGGCAATATCCTCCTTGAACACGTTGGTCCCGCGCTCGGATGTCAGGGTCGCGCAAGCACTGACGTCATCATTGTCATCCGCAGGTGGTCCGCATGGCCAACCTGTGCGTCATCGCGGCCCAGGTGGTGAACGGCGTCGCGCAGATCCACTCCGACATCGTGAAGAACGAGACGTTCAACGACTTCTACAAGATGTGGCCGCATAAATTCCAGAACAAGACCAACGGCGTGACGCCGCGCCGGTGGCTCAAGTTTGCCAACCCGAAGCTGAGCGCGGTGATCAGCAAGTGGCTCGGGAGCGACGAGTGGGTTACGGACACGACCAAGCTGACTGGGCTGCGGAAGGTGAGTCCCGTCCCCGGACGTCCGTAAATTGCGCGATTCCTAGTTGGTGTTGTTTTGAAAGGCCACATTTGAACAGTAGCGTTTTGGTGTACGAGCCAGTGGGTCACGGACATCACCAAGCTGACTGGGCTGCGGAAGGTGGGTCGCGTCCGGACGTCCGCAGTTCTCTTCATCTTTGGGTTCGACTTGCTTTGCAAGGCCAGTACACTAGCGCTTGGAAGCAGGGTCGAAGATACGACTGGTCAGAGTCGCGCCAACGACAGTCTGGCGCTTCGTGGCACTGTACATGATACTTGAGAATCTGAGGCGACACGAAAACTTTCAAATTCTATTCGATTGACGGCATTCAATCGTGGACGACCCGTTTTTGACAAAAAGGTTTTACACGTTTTGGACGTCTGCCGGTGGCAGTACGGCGCTCTTAAACAAGTCTCCGCCGGGCGCCTCGTATTAATCCGGGAATATTGACGCCTCAGGTTCCTTGACAAATCCTCGTAATGCTTTTGCAAACCCCCGTTTGTGACCGTGTGGCACATCATCGTTTCTCCATCTCTCTGCCCGCAGTTTGCGGACGACAAGAAGCTGCACGAGGAGTGGGTGTCCGCGAAGAAGGCCGCCAAGGAGGTCCTCGCGGGCTACATCAAGGACAAGATCGGCGTCACCGTGAACCCCAGCGCGCTCTTCGACATTCAGGTATGCTATAATACCCCGCCGTCCGCATATGCTGTTCGCCCAACGTCAGTAAAGCCGATGCGATGGTGACAGAGGGCGTTCAAATGGTTACTCGAGTAGGTTGGAGGAGCGCTCGCGTTGACTTCATGAAAGGGCGATGCCTTTGTTGAACTGAACGCGGGCTACTGTGCGTGGCTCTGAAGAAGACAGCTTTTGCGCAACTCAAGAGCTCAAAGAAGAGAAATATGTAGATTCTTCCGTAGCCTTCACTTCACGCCTGTGAGACTTGAGGAGTGGAACTTGTGAGAAGAAGCCCGAACAGTGATGCTAGAGACAGCTTCACAAACAGATATCTTTGAGTTGCTTTCTTGCTGCATAGTGCTTCCCGAGCGCTTGCCAAAGCGTTGTTGCAACAGTAGCAATTTGCACAATCAATCTTCGCTAAGTAACCAACGAGGCCCAAAAAGGACCTGAAACCATGAACTTCTGAAAGGTCCAGGTTGTAAAAGGTGCTGAAAGTTTATATCCGGCCTTCGCAGATCAAGCGCATCCACGAGTACAAGCGGCAGCTGCTCAACATCCTGGGCGTCATCTACCGGTACAAGCAGCTCAAGGCCATGTCCCCCGAGGAGCGCGCCAAGGTCGTGCCGCGTGTCGTCATGTTCGGCGGCAAGGCGTTTGCCACGTACACGCAGGCCAAGCGCATCGTGAAGCTGGTTACCGACGTTGGTTCCGTGGTTAACAACGACGCGAAGATTGGGGACCTGCTCAAGGTGAGGGTGTTGGGAGTTAGGGAGGGAGTTAGGAGTTGGTTTGCACTGGGGTTAACGGTCCGTTAAAGTGAAAACCCAGAAGGCAATCCATCCTGGCCAGACGCTTCTGAACGCCGTCAAGGACTGAGTATGCCTCAAAGTAGCAGGGTCTTGCTCATCCTATTTGTGACGAATTTGAGGTGATGTTCTTTTTGTCCTGGCCGGCCGTTGTGGGCCAACAAGCAATCAGCTCCTTCTCAAAAGTGACAAGAAATCTGCGTTAAGCTCATTGCGAGAGATTCAGGTGGATTTCTCGGAAGCTAATCAACACTCCCGTGTTCTGAGAGCGAGCTGTCGAGCACAGTCCCATGCCTCTCCTATTGGCATTCGTTTCGTGTCAAGCTGGGTCTGTCAAATCATCGGGTCTCGCAAACCCGTATGTAACCGAAATTGAACCCCTTTCAGGTGGTGTTCCTGACCAACTACAACGTGACGGTCGCCGAGACGGCCATCCCTGCAAGCGAGCTCTCACAGCACATCAGGCAAGTTTGGCGTTTCTGCGGTCCTGCTGTTTACCTGATTCCCGACAGAGTCCGCGCTGTTCGGCTTACATGTAATTATCAATTTTTGCGAGAGCTGTAAGGTTTCTGTCAGAACCCGTGGAAGGAGAACGTGGACTCCAGTTTTCATTCTGGACCCCCACACTGGTTGGTATACCTATGCGCGAGCAGCTGGGGGCTAGGCTGCCGCGGCACTTGCCACACGCGTATTACCGGTAACCTTGTTTACCTACTCTCGACCGGCCGATTGAATTCAAACCGAGGGCTCAAATAGACGTACATAGACCTAGTTCCGCGTCCCCGGGCATGGGACCAAGAGACCGGGTGACGTTGATTGTAACCAGCCAGCTCGGTCGCGCGCGCATGGGGTACCAAGCAGTGTGGGGGTCCAGAACGAAAACTGGAGTCCACGTTCTCCTTCCATGGGTTCTGTCACTTGAAATGCGATCCGCCTTCACCCAGCATCGCAGCGGAGTCATCGGCTTCTTCAACCCTAGTCTAGAAGACATCAGAGCTTGATGTCCGATTTGCAAAGCCGATGCCTGCGTAGCTTCTGCTGACGTGCTGGCGCGGTTCTGACGTAGCCTCTGCTGACGTGTGCTGACGTGTCTGCTCCGCAGCACGGCGGGCATGGAGGCCAGCGGGACGAGCAACATGAAGTTCGCGCTCAACGGTTGCCTCATCATCGGCACGCTCGACGGCGCCAACGTGGAGATCCGGGAACAGGTCGGCGAGGAGAACTTCTTCCTATTTGGGATCACGGCAGACGAGGTGCCAATTGCAAGGAAGGAGCGAGAGGAGGGCAAGGTAAGGAAGCGTTACTACGGCTGTTTGTCTGGAATGGCAACCCTCGCGCGAATCGAAACCTGCTTGGTATGATCTTGGACCGTCCGATCGGTGTCCAGAGGGGATCGCGCGGTCCAAGATTGTGTTACCGAGAAATCCAGGCCCATCGCCGGTGCAAGTTTCACACAAATTGCTGTGCAGAGTACGGAGCATTTCCGCATGGTTTCTGGAGACGCAGTCGTGTAAAGCCGGTTGTGAGACAGTGCAAAGCGGTGCGCCGGTGGTCGGGTCTGTCGCTTGCCCGGCGCAGCACGCTGCAAGCGCGTGCAACCACATCGAATTCGCTGCTTGCTTTACTGGGCTCCTGGTTACTGGAACTCGAATACCGCGCCGCAGATACGAACCTGACGTTGTCGTGATCGGGCAGGATTTAAAAGAGAGGGTACTCTGGCAGTATCTTAAAACGTGAGTGTACAGCAAGGTGCTTGTAGGTATAGAACGAAGTGTGTAGCTAGAACCTTTCATCGGTCCGAATAAAAGCATTCAACAAAGACACCAAATCCAAAGGCCCCGCTTCGAGTCAGATTCAACTCACCGCTTCGTATCGCTGCAGTTTCTGCCCGACCCGCGTTTCGTGGAGGCGTGCGACTTCGTCCGCAGCAAGGCCTTCGGCGACTACGACTACCAGCCCCTGCTCGACTCGCTGGAGGGCAACAGCGGCTTTGGGCGGGGCGACTATTTCCTGGTCGGCCGGGACTTCGCGACCTATCTGGAGGTAAGCTTCTTGCTAGATCTATATTATCTCTTTATCTTTCTCTTCTGTGTTTGGTTCCTTTGATCGTGTTTGCGTTGTGCCTCTAGTCTTTCCTTCTTTTCGGGTGCTCTTTTGATAAGGGGCTAGCGGAGATATAATCCGGCTAAGTTTCTCCATTCCTCCTCCTTGTGGCGTGCCCTTCTGGTAAGCGGCTGGTGACAAACACTGTGGTCGTGGGTAAGTGACTGGCAGCGCCGTCTCAACCGCTTTTTGCGGCCGTCACTTGTACCAGATCGCTTGCCCTTCGTCATCTTTTGTTGGTGGGCGGTAAAATGGGCTTGTTCCGCGGCATGTGGCAAGTTGAGCATTTCCGTTGTGAATTGTTTGCTTGAACAGAGATACCAAGGCAAGCGCAACTAATGTTTTTGGATTGAGCGAAGACTTCGAATGTGCTTTCAATGAGTGTATATACCAAATCGTCATATCAGACGAGTTGAAAGGCTTGTCGCATCACGAGCCCTGCGCCGTAGACCTCCAACCGCCAGGACACCCGACGCCCATGCCGAGTGGTCCAAACCCCGGAATCGGCAATTACCTCGTCTTGAAGTCTGGGGAAGCAAGCAGCGGAATGCCGACGTGAGCATGATGGCGGCAATCATTTCCCCGAGATGCTGACGTCAGCATGACGGCGGCGTTCGTGTGCAGGCCCAGAAGAAGGTGGACGAGGCGTACCTTGACCAGGACCGGTGGGCCCGGATGTCCATCATGAGCACGGCGGGCAGCGGCGTCTTCTCCTCCGACCGCACGATCAAGCAGTACGCCGAGGAGATCTGGAACATCAAGCCGCTGAAGGTGGAGTAGAGCGACGGAGGCTGAGAAAGCTTGTGGGTCACTCTGGGCTTTCGGATGTTCGTTCTGTACTTTGGCATCGCACTTCTTAGTATGTCACGCAAGCAAGTTGAGCAATTTGCAGGAACACGAGACTCGTGTTGACAGGCGTTGGCGAGCAGCAGGTGTTTCATGAGATGGACGATTCCGGCGAGGCAAATAGCGAAGCACAGACGACAATTTAGCAAACCAATTTCTTGATGCAGACCCGAGCAACTTTTATCAACATGCATTTAGTTTTGGCAAATGCTGGCGACGGTGCGTTGCTACCAAGATTTAGAATGATATCACGTTTTGTCTATCTGAGTGCATCTGGTGAGAGGGGTTTGCAGTCCCGAGCCTTCCGACTGCAAAAGTAACCGCCTTATACGAAAGCTACTGTCAACTTTTGATAAAGTTGAAAGCCTGCGCGATGCAGCAAGCTAATAACAAATAGTACACCTGGCCGGCTTCTCAGTCCTTTCATCGTTGTGATTAAATTGCCAATGAGCAGTTGCAAACATCGTTGCAACTCGCATCATCAAATATGAATGAAACGGGACCGGAGTCAAGCTCGCAATTCTTCCCGAAATGTAGAAAAAGTGCATGCATGGAGCTTGAACTTTTTTAAAAAGCATACTGCGGCTAGGTACCGCAAAATTTAAACCATATCTACATCACTATATCCAGCAAAGTGACGGTGAACGGGCTCCCATGTAGAGAATTATTGTCTGTGTGGTGGTAGACAGCCTCAAGCCTGCTTTCGCCTAGTCACTGGCACCTTGCGGCCAGCAGCTAGGTCGTCCCACTCAGCGTTTTGAGAGATGTACCTCGACCCGGGCCTCTTCTCTGAGCTTGCTCTCAGTTCTCAGCTCTCATGCAATCATTGAATCTCAGCTCCTCGCAATGATGGAATCTGATCCTTCAGTGTGTCACGGGCATTTGAAAAATTCACTCATGGTATGCGCATTTACATGTTCTTGTCATGATCTGTGCCGGAGCGTAGGGTTGACTCCGCTCAAAACAACGTTCGGAAAACTTGTATGTTAATACAATGTTAAATTGAAAAGCTCGTCCAGCAGTAAATCAAATCCAGCATATATATCAATGCTTATGTTCCCTCATGCGGCTATTCTGATTCTAGTTCAAATTGTGCCTCCTTTCCCAAACTTACTGCCACTTGGTTGATGGTCAACCTTTTCTTGGTCAATCTTTTCGATCATACCGTACGAAAATATGATCTAAATATATGATTAAAAACGTATCAGCTACATAGTACCAGGGCTACTTCCAGTGTGAAATGTTGTTGCGAAGTTCCTAGATTCTCCATTCTATGACTCGTAAACGTACCTAGATTGGACCATTAGCACGTTATTCACTTTCCAGGCGACATTACGTTTATTGCGTCCTAGATGTCCATCCTACGAGGGATTACACAAACCGGACCTCTTTTCCCATCATACAAGGCAATGTCAATGTTCTATCGAACAAAATCAGATCGCTATCCTGCAACCTAGGCCCCGTTTCCTTTCGAAACGGAGACAACATCCGACACACACACCGCTGTCAATAGTCAAATCTCTCAAAACCACCAATATAAGTTAAGCCGCTTCAAATGCGGCGGGAACTCTACAATTCACACACCAATTTCTCACGTCCACCGCCCAATTCCCTAAGCGGTTCTGAAAGCAACGCAACGGCGCTCCTCCGGGTACTGCCCGTTCCCGTCGTTGGGGTTGAGGTTGTTTCCGTCCGACAGCTGTACGCTGGACAGGCGGAGCTTGATGCACTTGCCGCGGAAGTCGTTCACGTTCTGGGGGTTGTTAAAGGTGCGATCGCGCACGAAGTTGCCCCCCCCGTAGAACTGGTTCTGGTTGTCGTTCGGAATGGGGGGGTACGCGCCGTAGCCCTGGTTCGTGTTGATCACGTTGACGTGCTGGCCGCCGTCCCTGAAAGAGGGGGATCCCTTGATTAGAGAAGCTTTCTTCGAGATTTCGGGACTTCGTCGTTCGGGACAGGTCGTCAACTAAACTGCCTTCGCCGAAGGACGTTGTGTCATCAAAAGTTTTGAGGGACCAGTTTTACTCTGAAGATTGTCCGATGCCCGAGGGCGCCATCCATTTTGCGGTTTCTGGTTTCAACTTTTTTTCTCATCCTTTCGCCTAGCTTTTGCGCATTTGTGAGAAAGAACGACTACATGCCTTCAGTTTCTGAACATACTGAATATCGAATTTCACAGCGCATCAGAGTGTGGAAGGATGGGGTCTACTCTGGTACTTCGAAGCTAGACCAAATCCTCAAATTAGAGAACCAGCGTCGAGCAAGTGAGGTGACTGAAATTTGTTCCGCTCACTTGGAATTGATGATAGCTGGGCTAATGCTGTTGTCCCCGGTTCCAGGGCCCAGATACAGGGTTGGAACATAGCTCTGGTATCCTTCAAAGTAGAAGTCGCACTCGCTAGCGGAGAAGCAGTCTGCAATGGAAATCAAATCTGCGTGAGCAGCTGTTTAAAGTAGCGTCTTTGCACGTCTTTTTCAATTCTCTCTTGCGCGCGCGCATGGAAGAGAGGAATTTTTGATTCGCAAACCAGCAGGCAAAAGACAACGGCAATAAGGGCGGATACTGGTCCGCCTATATTGCGGACACTAGGACTATATATGGACATCGACTCAGCTGGGAAGAAATGAGAAGTCAGATAGAACAATTCAAAAGAAGCAGTCGACGAATTACTAATGGCGGAATGGGGACTCGCAGACTGCTGACCTGGAGTCTGCATTCTCTCGCAGTACGTCCCCTCGTAAGGAGTCACGCAGTTGCACTGGAAGGAGGTAGCTGATCCCCCGTCGATGCACTGTCCGTTGTTCTGGCAGGGGTTGTTGCGCTGGCAGTAGCCTTGAGCTGCACGTGGAGCACACGTCAGCGTTCAGCACGTTTTTCGGCACGCAAAAGAATCGTTGCTCAGCGACGAGATTGCTTCGGCTGCTTTTGGACCTTCCAGGGTTTCTCGTAGTCCGACTCACTGACACAATAGAGACCCGATGAAGCAAGAAACAAGCACGTGCACTGGATGATATTCGATCTCATCTGCTTTCAGCTCCCTTGCAATCGACTTCACCACAAGGGTAGACGGAGAAGTAGTTTGCTTCCATACAGATGCAAGCGCCAAGACTGACGCCCAACAAACAAAATCACACCCATCACTCCCTGAGCAATTCAAAACAATTCATTGCAGCCCATGCGACTTAATCTGGTTAAAAGTAAACTCCCCCTAGTGATTGCGCCTCACCCTTTTTGGTCGCCCAGTCGATCTGGTACTGGATGTTGCACAGGCCGTACGGCTGGTCCACCCCCCTCTTGATGCGCACGTACCCCGCCTCGCCCCACGTGGCGCCCCACGAGTTGCGCACGATCCAGAAGTCGTCGCCGTTCTCGGAACCGTATCCAACGGCGGCCATCGCGTGGTTGATAACCACGGTCGTATCGCACGGCCCGTCGAAGACGCCCTGCAGTGGAAGGGGAGAGTGTGAACAGGCGCGTGGGAACAGTGGGAACAGGCGTGTGTGAAAAGGCCGGGGGGGCGCACAGACGGCATTGAACGGAGGGATAGGAAAGGGCAGGTGTGAACGGGCGGGTGTGAACGGGCAATCAGAAATGGGCGCACGAGCACGGGCCACTTTGACAAAATCCGCACGAGCGCATTTGATTTTGAGTATCACTTTCTGCAACGTCGCAAACCTGCCATATCTGCAAAGCTAGAGCCACGAAGCCTTGCATAGAACGTAAATGAGGTGAGGGGTAAGTCCCTGATTATCGTGTCAACAACCTAGGTTAACTAGTACAGTTCAACACAACTCAATGTGTTTCCACCTGTTGACACCAGCTCGACTCTGACACCATTATAGGATCACGCGCCGGCTCACCTTTGAGTAGAACTGGAAGTCGTCTCCGACTGCGAAGAGGACGACGACAGGGGCGTTGACGAGCTGCTCTTTGATGACGTCCTCCGAGGGCTGCGACAGGTGGTACACGTAGTCGACCGTGATGTCATCGCTGGCGCTCTGCAGGAAGGGGAAGGCAGTCTTGCGTCAGTACTCGGTAACACGACTTCTAGGCTTCCCTTTGGGCACGTCTCTTGTGGGCGCACGCGAAGAGCAGCACGAAAGGCTGAGCTTTTCAGATGCGAGGCGGCACAACCGAAGGGGGCTCCTTCATCTCTTAAAACTCCTGAACGACAACTTACGACTCAGAACTCCCTTACTCTTACTCCTACTCTATAACAACTCAAAAGGTACTTAAAGAGCAGTGTAACAACACCTGTCGGAAGGCTCGGTGATCACCGCAAAGCTTAGTGCAAATTTTGAGCGGCTTGCAAAGAGAGCTCTGTTGCTCATAAGCTATGCCGACCAGCACATTACCCGGACAGGGCACTCACCTTTGCTGCGTCGCAGGCCGGGTTGATGGATTTCTCGGCGTGAAAGACGGCAGGGTACTTTGCCGCCGTCGTTTGGCCGTTCGCCTTGACCCAATCCATCGCATTTCCAGGCCACCCGCCCCCGGAGCAGCTTGTTCCCGCTTCTTCAGGGAAGCAGTCAATCATCTCCTCCTCAGAGCCCTTGACATACTGCCCCGTCGCGATGTTGAACGTCGTCTCAAGTACGGCGGTAGCGGCATGCGCCCAGCAGGTCCCTGTTGGATTGAATGGGAACCTTGATTGAGCAAGTTTGATTTGTGGGTTTGGTTTGTGGTTGGTTAAGTTGCCTTCTACCAAGCGGAGCTGGGTTTATAGCTGGTTCACTGTCTTCATCCAGACTTGGTTAAGGGCGAAGGCTTTCTGTGATTGAGTAGGGATAGGGTTGAGGACCACATTCGGGTCGACCATAATCAAGGGCCCTTCATAATGAGAGGTGGTTTTGTGAGAACACATGAATCCGTAAACAGGGGGTTTGAGCTCAGACTTTTTCTTCTTGTGAGTAGTCGTAATCAAGGTGCCTGCTTCAATTGGAAACATCATATCATTTAGCTAGGGGGTGCAGTCAAGTACCATCGATAACACCCTGCTGGATGCCACCAAATCAACCTATTGTAAAGTTCTTAGATGCGAGGTGATCCCCCAAGTAACCAGAGAAGCGAAAACCAAACAACACTCACCGCAGGTCTGGCTTAGGACTGGTTGCAGCTTCCCAGTCGTGCGCCAGTCAACGGAGGACGGGAGGTTGAGCAACGAGCGCCGCGCCGCACCCGCAAAACCCCTCTTCTCCCTCAAAAGCCGCCTGCCGGACCCATCGCTTCCGTCGCTGGGGGGAACCGCCCCCGTGTAGCTCGCGATAAACTCCTCGTGCGTCAAGTCCGCAAACTCGTTGACTGCGAGCGTGTATGAGCGGTTCTCGCGGTTGCGGGCGTCGATCAGCTGGACGTTTGCGTAGAAGACGCCCTTCCGGTACGCGACCTCCGAGCTGCCGTTGAACGCCCTCGGGAAGCTCGCGTTGAAGCGCGCGAAGCACGCGTCGGGGCCGTCGGGGCAGACACCCTCGGGGTCCAGGTATACGGAGGGGGGGGTGGGCGTGGAGGTGGGCGTGGGGGGGGGAGGCTGAGCGGCGGTGAGCTGGGGGGATCCCCCCGGGGTGGGCCCGGAGGCGGGCGCGGGGCCGGGGGCCTGCTGAGCGGCGGTGAGCTTGAGGGATCCCCCGAGGAAACACAGCAGGAGGAGCGTCGCCAAAGTCACTGAGTGCTGGCCGCCGCGGGTGCCCATGTTGATTGGGCGCACAGGAAGTTAGGGGGGGTTGATGCTTGGGGGCGTTGGGCTGCTTGAATGTTCCGACAGTGGTTGCAAAGCGGTAAGACGGTTTGGGGGCTGGGAACGAGAAGGCAAGTAGGAGGTCGCTTTTTGGGCTGCTTGGATTTCCGTGATGCGAAGTGGTAAGACGGTCTGGGGGCTAGGATTGAGCTGAAGCAAGTGCGAGCTGGTAGCTCTTTGGTTGGCAAGTTCAGACAAGTGGCTTGGATTGAAATGCTGGCTTGCTTGCTGCTTTATAGTCAGCATCCGAAACCGAGGGCCGGGAGCTTGTGAAGTTCGGCTCTCTACTATAGAACTGCTCTGACTTCGACGTCTACCTTCGTCTAGGCAAGTCGGAAGCAGCTGCCAAGGTTCGGTTCAACTTTGGCCAGTAATGCCGTAAGACACGTATACGGATACGGTACTTTCCGACTTCATGTTGACCAGACTGTGATTCGCAGAGGTTCGTGCTCGGGAAAGGCCGAAACCGAAAGTGTAAACCTTGAGAAGACAAGCCTCGCAACCGGCCATACCCGCCCTAAACCCGCGAATCCAAGCTAACGATACCCCGAGACAGCTTCCGGGAAGTCAACACATGGCGCTTGGTCAACATGAAATCGAGAGAACTCATCGGATGACTCGGACACCTGTACTATCACCGGGCATCATCCACTTTGGCGCAACTCCCTTCAAGTCTCCCCTGATGGGCTTGTGCTGTTTGTCTCCGAGTCAGCTTCACAGCCTGGGGGCCGCGCAGGGTTGGCGCGGGGGTTAGCTCAATAAGGGTGCCGTAAAGCGGGTAATCTGTTGGGTTAGGGGTATTGGTTGAGATCGCCCGGGCCCCTGAATCTTCACAGACAAGCCCCTCAGGAGATTAAAGGGAGTTGCCAAGTCCGGGCGCACGTTACACGTACTGAATCCTGATCAGTCTATGGTCAT